TACGAATTTTGGCTAAACTCACCCCTGGCCTCCCCAGATGGACCCAAGCAGGTACACATTACACATATGACCTTCGTAATTATGCAGCCTCACTCAACTCAGTGTGGTAACGATAAAAATCCCTGTGGTTGTACTTTAAATTTGTTTCAAGTCATCATTTTGAGTTTGCTCGAGCATTGAATTGCTCGCTGTAAGTTTGCATGCCTGGATAGTTCTTAATGATTTAACATTGCAATGCAAGTTTAAAATGTATAAAACTAAAAAAATATATCATGATTCTTTCAGTTGACTTTTCGGAATAAGAGGTTTCAACTTACTGATGTTATTCCGTTTTAGCTGCTGTGAATTGTGTCCCGTCGTCTCACCAGAAAGTAATGAGCCCTAAATGTCTTTTTAAATTCATAACTCTGTATCTTCATACTAAAACTTTCAGAAGAAAAAAGCTGGTTAGGATTGGCTAACAAGCCGTGGTAATGAGCAATTTGGGATTGGAACACAACCCAAAGGCCTCGCTCAGAGTCTGGAGTACGTTTCCACTGACATGGTTTGCTAGAGTACGGAGACATTTGGCCGCTCGGTGGACGCGGGGCGGGCAGGCTGAGCGGGGACTGTGGATGAGGGCATCCATTGTTTGCGCGCTGCTCACACGGGGATTCTGCCCTTGTTCAACATGCTGTGCTGCTTTGAAGATCGGCTTTGACATTCAAAAGACCTTCTCTTCAACTCAGAGTTTGGGTCTCATTACTGGGATTTCAACAAGCAGCGTCTTTATTCAGCATAAGTCCAAATAATGAGTAGGCCGAATAGCTTTTGAATAAATCACGTTTAGGAATTTGTGTGTTTTGTTTTCAGAACATACACACTGCAGACTTTATGGAATAACACTTTTTAAAACCATCTCAACCCCCCCCCCCCACACACACAACTTATTGACCAGCAGGAAATAATAGAACGTTCATCCCACGAGCTCCTTTGTCTTCTATCAGTGACTGTGTGCTTTCCCCTAATCCTCTTTCCTCTGTGGCTCCGCCAGCCACCACCTGTGTCCGCCTCATTCCTGCGGATGAGTCACACCAGAGAAGCGCTTCTGCTCCAAGACGGACCATTTTTCTCACTCACTGTTCCATAGAGGAACCCGGCATAGCAAGTAAACTTTTTTGTGGGACGGATTTCATGCGCTTTAAATAGCTGTCCTCTCTGCAGTTTGATTCGAGCGGCGTTAATGTCCGCTGATGGGTAGAAACAGCGCCGTCCTCAGCATATTTCTGTCAAGCTGATACGGCATAACGCTGCTAAAAGAGCAAAACAAGTCCGTTCTCGGATGCCTGTGGAGATATTTTGCTCAACTGCAATTTTCTCAGCCACACACACACACACACACACACACACACACACACACACATATATGTGTTTTGGCTCAGACTCATTTGCACCGCCGTGACACCTGAATGGTTTAGCCTCGGTGTCGATGGACTGTATGACATTACGCCTGATAATGGCGGCTCCTGCTTCTCTCGTTTGTGATGAATGTGTCTGTCACTGCAGTCTGTAAGTCCGTCACAGCGCATTCTCCACACGCCCGTTTGGATGCGGCCCTTTTCTGACAGGAAAAATCAGCCAATCCCGACGCTTCAATGAGCAGCATCCCTAATCTCACCCTCGTGCCGCAATTGCAGGTTTGGAGAATGAACCCTGAGTAATCCCTCACAGGGAGCAACGCTCCACTTGTTGTCCCTTTCCCCCACCGTCTCTCTCTTTTTCCTCGCGCTCTCTCTCTCTTTATTTTGCATAAACTCTCTCTCTCTCGCTCTCTCTTACTCTCTGTGTTGCTTCCTCTTGCTCTCTCCGCCTTATGTTCTGCCTCCCTAGATGGCTGCTCCTCATACTTTCTCATTGATTTTCTTCCTCACCGCACCTACTCAGTAAGTGATTGACAGCCGTCTGCTTCTTCCTTTTCCTCTCTGTCTTTTCCTTTTCCTCCTCTGCTATTCCCCTTTCCCTTATTATACAATATTCTTCTTCCTGCCTCGCTGCTACTGTGTGTGTGAAATAAATAGTCCACAGTGCTCATCATCCGTCTGAACTTTGAATTGTTTGAATTTACTTCCTAGATTCAGTGGTTTTAGCCTACTGCACAGTTGTTATTTGCTGTAATTGCAGTCGGAATCCCAAATGAATGGCAATGCAAACGAGAAACATCCACTTACCACCTTTTATATTGTTAACAAAGAGAGTCGTATATATGGGAATGTGCAGAGAACTCTCTCAATAATTAAGGCTTTGGAGTCCAATAGATTCTCGGGTTGTGCTGCGGTTTGTAATGAGGTTTTGTGAAATGTTTCAATGGTGTTGATTCGCCAGATTTAATGCAATGGTTGGAGGTCCCTTCTCTTTACAGGCTTTCTGGCCCTTAAATGAATGGCAGCTTGACGAATATTTCATCAGCTTAAATACTTGTTTATTGGTGTATTTCCCACCTTTAGACACTCTGTTGTCCTCTTTTCACCCTATGTATGCTTTGCAATAAGTAGCCTCCCATTTTTATGACACAAATCAACAGTAAAAAGAAAAAATGTATTGCATGAAGTCCGGCAGAAATCTATCACGGTATTAAAGGATTCCAGTCTTTAAGTATAATAAGTGGGTCTGTTCCCGAGCGTGGACATTAGCTTATGTATAAATCGTCCTTACCGTTCAGCTCTATTTTCACCCCCTGCAGCTCTAAGGGAATTGACGGCACGGCCACCAAAGGACCCTTTTCTCCCCCACTAGCATCCGTTCCTCCTGCTCACAGCTCACTCGCCCTCCCTCTCCCTCCTCCCTCCACCTCCCGTTCCGGGCCAATAGTCGTAATGCCAGCCCGTCCCATTACACGCTCAGTCATCGCCCCGCGCTCACACTTCTGGGGACGCCTGCTGAGCCTCAGACGAACCTCCCACCACCTCAACGGGCTCTGCCGAGTGATTGCGCACTCTGATTGTTGAACACGTGTGTTTCGGGTTCCTTTTTGGTGGTTCCACAGCATGTCCACGTGTTCTCCGTCTCTGTTCCCTTGAGGACGTCGTCAGCGGAGGGTGTTGCGGGTTGTGTAAATTTATAGATCCTTTTGGTACACCAGAGGAAATGGTGTACCAAAAGGATGGGAGGCGAGATCTTTTTGATCAGAGTTAGGAGAGTAGTTAAACAGCTTTCAAACGCTTTTGAGAATTTTAAAACAAACTATGGGAAAGAGAGGGGAGCTTTTTTTTTTAGTTATCTGACTTCAATCTCTGATCTGCAGTTCATCCTCTCTGGGCTTCAACCACCACGAATATCCCCAAAGGTTCTAGCATTTTTACATTACAGGTCATTTAGCGGACGCTTTTATTTTACTTTAAACCCATGGCTTTTTCACATTTTGCCCGGGGAGCAATTAGGGGTTAGGTGTCTTGCTCAAGGACACTTCGACTTGAGACATGGGGCAGCCGGGACTCAAACCACCAACCTTGCAGTTCCCAGCGCATCTGCTCTACCCCCGCGCCACGACGACCCCCGTTTAATCAGAGAAGTCATTTCAGCGACATGGATCGAATCACACCAACAACATATGAAGGCTAAATTAGATGGTGTACCTCTTTCATTGCTCTTATATAATATTCATAATGGACAGAGTGTGATTATTATGTTAAGGGATGTTACTTCTACAGCCGGGGGTGGCAATGTGTACGTAATGAGGAGGTGTGGCAGTGAATGACAACAGTGTGCTTTGAATGGTTATCATTTGGTTCTCAGTGATCCGAACAGGTGGTTATAGTTATAATATATATGTATACATATATATGTATACATATATATGTATGTATACACTAACAGGAGCACAGTATGCAGGATGAACTTGACTTCTTAAAATACTTCACATTTATTGAATCTAAGCAGAAGATTACACAAACTAACGAAAAGACAGTTTTGCATATGGCCTGCATTGTGATGTGCAACACAAAATACAATGCTGGTTTGTTATTAACATTGAAATTGCATTTTTCTGCACCAGCTGCATAAACAAAACTTGTGAAGGCAGTATGAGAAGTAAACGCGAATCGTTATAATGCTAGTTGTGCCCTTTGAGTTGCCCCCGTGTTGCATAACTCTGACCATGTTATCATCAGCAAAAAATATAGTGCAATTTTGAATGTGAATAATACCAATCTTGTGCCGCAGAACAGTAGAGAACAAATTGGTTCTCACTGAAAAAGTCAAAGTACCATTGTCATGAGTCATAAGAAAAACACTCCACACTTTCCTCAACAACAGCATTTTTCCATCTATCGTGTGCTTGTACTGATTTTAACAAGCTCCGCCGTTGCTGAGTTTTCCCAACCATCAGAAGAGCCGTGTAAATACATCAAGTTCAGGGTGTACAAATCGCCACGTTTTCTTTTTTTCTGTCATTAAGTAAGATGGAAGTGAGAACAGTAATTTGCCACTCAGAGCACCGGGAGGCAAAGTAGACGTCTGCAGAGGCCGTCGCCTTGGTCTCCACCATTGACAAACTTGGTTCGAGCAAATGGATTAATGAAACCGGAGATGTCGGAGACAGCCTCGAAGAGGGGATGAGAGAGGAGGAAAGACAGGAATCCCGACTCGAGCTGTAATGCAGATGAGAATACGGCTCTGCGCCACCGGATTTGCCGGTAATTTGTTTAATGAATGCATTCTGTTGCCTCTGATTGAACGCGTGCCCCGTGTTCGCTCCTCAAGGAGCGCACACACGTCGCCGCTTCCCCCCCGGCAGCTCTGCTTTCTCCAACTATCAGCCGGCCTCCCGACCCGGGGATCTGTCCACTGCCGTCTCTGTCCATCCTGAAGGTCATAATGATTGTTCCTTTTGAGAAAAAGGAGGTGATTAAGTACGGATTGTTTTTTTTGGGGCCTTTTCCAGCTGATGGACCCTAGTGACTGATCTGTGTGTGTGTGTGTGTGTGTGTGTGTGTGTGTGTGTGTGTGTGTGTGTGTGTGTGCAGATTGGCCTGTGGCACTCTGAAGATGGACTGTCCATGGAGAGAAAACTTCCATCAATCAATGTGACGGACACCCTCTTCAACACCACTCTAGCCATCACAACAATACTAGTAAGTGGGACTGTTTGCAGGCCGATACTGTCCGCGCACATCAGCAGCGGTCCGTGTCAGTTCATCAGCTCAACGCCGCGGCTGATCTACATGTGCCTGACGTGCCGCGTTTGACGAACAATTACCATATCAAAAACCTCATTTTGCATTTTCAGATCCAAACTGAGTCCTCTTGCGATGAGAGGTGATGCATTGTGATGTGGGCTCATCTGAGTGCGTCAGAATGAGGCCACATCGCAACGCATCACCAGGAGCTTAGAATTCCACTTGTCAGCCATTTTCAGCCTCTGTTGTGCCTTTTTTTATTTGCTGAATTGCCTGCATATTAATTGCTATGATATTCTTAACTAATCTAATTACTTGCCCATCAATGAATTAGCCACCCGTTTTGAGTAGTAAAGAAGATGTAAAAAGGATGTAATGCTGCTACTTTTCATACCACAACAAAAAGTGATGCTTTCATGTCGGGACTAATATGGAAGCTCTCAGCTTTTCAGTCAGCTGCATGTGTTTCATGTCGCTCTCCTTCCCTCGATACACAAACGGACAGTCGCACGCACAAACTTGTCACTCGTCCAGCTCCTCCTCCTCCTCGCTGATGATTCAGGTGATAAGATACAAAGTAGCTTGTAAGCAGAGGCAATTGTCCCAATGGGTTATTCTGTCTGTGGCTCATCAGCCGAGGAGCCGTGGGAATGAGGGAAGGACATGTTGCCGGAATTCGCCACTGAACAACTCACTGGTCTCATTGAGACTTATTGGGATTCAGACGGAACGGTTCATTTCACACTGGAGGGAAAAGCGCACAGGGGTTGGAGGTGTGTGTGTGTGTGTGTGTTTGGGTTGAGGGGGAGTACAAATGAGGCAATATTTTCACAACAGAAAGCGGCTGTGAAAGAAAGAATTGGCCAGGCACGGAGCTTTGATTTCACTTTGGCGATATAGAGTCCCGGGACCAAACTCCAGAAGCCACCAAGGAGCAATTTTCGGCGCCTATCTCAGCTCATTCATCATGGTGTGATTGCCACGTCGCTGTTATCTCGCTTGTGGGCGGGGGACGAGCCGGCGCTGAAAGCAGCTCCATGAGAACTCCTCACCTGCAGCACTGGCCGGGGAGACCGCGTGTGTCTGTGCGTGATTGCAAAGGCATTCACGGAAAGCTCTCTTCAATGTGGGAACGCGAGTGTGTATCTTGTGTGTGTTTATGTGCACACTTGACATGTTAACCTGGCCTTCACAGGGCAGTTTCATTCCCTCCCCCACAGGGCTGTCATCTTCCCACTTCAACTCTGGGATGGGGGCGGGTGGGGGGCTGTCACAGTATTTGTTTTTGTTTTTGTAAGCATTGATTGAGCTGTGCAAGAAGATTTTGGTACTTTGGTTACTTTCCCTCCCTCTTCTTTTGTTCGAGGGCTCGTACGAGTGCGCTGCTCACTACTACTACTTCAGATAACTGTGTCAAAGACCATCGTAAACATGATGAACACCACCCGTGCTTAAATAAGCATACAGTCAGGAGAATTGTTAATAATGAAATAAACGCGTATGAGGCTACGCGCCCTGCCCCATATGGCCCATATTGAAGTAATGCTTCTGAGATCCGTAAAGGCCATTGAAGCTGTTAAATATGATAGACCTTTTATATTTTTTACTGCATCTGCAGCAGAATTAAGGGACCTGTTAAGGCCTGGGAATGGGAGGAAATAATAATCCCATTTAATACCATTTTCATCTGAGGGTCGTACTGTCACTGAAATATAGGAGAAATGGTCTCGCCTCAGCAAAGCCATCCTTTACTGCAATGGGGGTCTCAAATAATTTAAGATGCTCATATTTTATTATATCAATAGCCAATTTATATGAATGACTATATTGGTAGGCTATAGGAATACACTCAGGATTTTATTAACCAATAAATCTACAGAGTCAAACAAGCTTTTAAGCTTTCTGTCTTTTTATTTGGTCTTTGTTAACTGAGAGTATTTATTTGCATATCTGGAAAGTCAGATCAGATCCCTAGTGGACACTCATGACACAGGTTGAAACGAATTCTAAAGAAAGCGAGTTAATTGGAGCTGTTTCTCTGTGATCGCAGCACCCAAGTTATAAATAAGTCAATGCTTTTTAAGTGGAGCTAGTGGCTCAGAGATGATGATGATAATGATGGTGATGGTGACAGTAAGACACCTCATCCAATTTATGACTCCGATATTAACTGGAGTCAGGGAGCATCAATAAGGAATAACTTGACTTCTAATCAAGTATAATGGCGTCCATGCACCCAATACAACCATTAGGGGTACTTGCAGAAAGTGACCATGACCACTATTCAATGAATACACACATTCACGTCGATACATACATAGAGCCACCAAGCCCCCACCTCCCTCTATGCACACACACACTATAATTCGTATCTCGTCTGAGCATAATGCTACCATGTCCCTGCGCACGCACGCACACACACACACACACACACACACATAATTCAACAAACCTTTTTCACTAGCTTTTGGCAATTACACCCCGAGCAAATCATTAAACATCCTTTGGTCTCAACACGATATATCCCTCATTTAATTATGCTCCTAAATACCACCTGTGCCCAGTGCTCATTTTCCGCATATCCTTTGTTTATACCCGAGACCTACTTACGGTAAGAGAACCTTTCGTTCTTTGTGGACTAGAATTCTTGTGTTCATTTCCTCCGTTTTCCACTCTCCCCTTGTGTTACTGAGTGCCGTCATTTCCATTCACGTACACATTGGTAAGGACATGAAGCAGACTGATAAAAGCGAGCAGGCTCAGCAGCGGCCTGCGTATGTGCACCTGAATCTGCACCCACAGACGCAACATCTGTCACCATTTCTTGAACTTTATACGTACTTATTTTTTCTCTGTTTTCATATCACTTTTCTTAAAATTGCTTTATCGAAATGTAAATGACCAGGCCCCTTTTTCTCGTGACCTAGTATTTTTCCGAGGATTGTTGGAGCATCTGAGGCCTTTCTTCAAACAGCACGACCGAACCCCAGTGAGAGAATTAAATCTCCGCTGCCAGTTTGCTGGGCTCTGGAGAGCAACTTTTTAAGGATAAGAAAACAGTTGAGGAAAGCGCGGAGGGGTTGTTTGAAGACGTCTTTAACGCCCTGGGGTTATTAAAAGGGGAAACTCCACTGTGATGTCTGAAGTTGAATGTGAACAACACCCACCGGTGCACCCGGCGCTCTGCGTCTGTATGGGTGTGTGTGGACGTGTCCTTCCTTGTGCATTAGCAAGAGTGTGTGCTTCTTCCTCCCAAGTTATCAGTGCACAACCAGACTCCTCGTGGCCTGGGAATAAGACTCTGCAGTTCTTTAAAGCTTTATTGCTGTTTTGCTGTGGTGTGCAAAATAAGGTGGACCGGATTTTCTTGTGATTTTTGCCTTCATGGGACACGGCACTTTCATACACCTGTATAGACTTTATGTTCCCGTATATAGTTATTTTCATGATTTAGCTCTCAACTTCACAGAAAGGAAAATATATATCAGCTTTTAATAGCAGTGGTGCTAATTAACATCCACATTTGACCGGCCCTTTTTTAATGACCTTTTTTGAGAAAAAGAATTGCAATGCTAGTGGGGGGTTTTCTCCAGTCAGCCGATGTCATTCAAGTACAGTGTAATAGGAAATAAATTGGGGCACATTTGGAAGGTTTACGTTTACAGCTGTGAAATAGGATCACAGCATGAAAGAGACCAATTGAAACCAAGGAAAAGTGACAAAGAAAACAAACCACAGAGGAGTACCTGTGGTATTGATCGCAGTTGGGTTTTTACTGGTGTGATTGATGGAATTGAACATGGTCAACACAGAAGGAGGGAGCACAAGGCAGTCGTTTCCAGCCTCAGTTAGAGATTGCCCTCAGCTATTTGTTAAAATATCGAATCCTTTTACCATTCACACATATCCACAATATGCTGTAACAAGTTATTTTACAAGGCAAATTTAATTATGAAATTAAATTCATATATTGTTCTAGGAGGCAGGTTTGGAAACGGGTGTGTATCAGCACTTTAAACGCTATGAACTCAACTGTACAATCGAAAGGAAAAGCCGTACAATCCCGATCTGATCTCCCCGTCCCCGACCTGTGTGTGCAGCCACGGGTGGAACAAAGTGGTTCCTATGACAACGGGGAGAGTCACAGTAACAGTTTAGCCACCTGATGTGCACCATGTTCTCAAATGTTGCTGATTTCAGTAGACGTACTATTTTTGTGGCTTTTGCTGTGAGGCAAATCAATTGTCAGTCAGCCAGCAACCACACAAATAACTATTTCCAGCTGTGGAGATGACGAAACTATTTCAATTTTATTCCAGTTCTGAAAATACGCAACCCTGCTAATGATTCACCCTCCTGGAAGCTGTCACGGCGGCTTTGATGGCTTTTGCACATGGCTGTTGTGAATTACACGCACCTCGCTGTGCGTATTTCTGTCAACACCCAAAGTAGAGTCGACAATCCCCCCGAACAAGCTAGTGGTAAAACTAAAAGATTTGTGAGCTACTGTGTATCAGTGTAAGCACATAAACATGGGTTTAAAATACTTAATAAAGCTTCCATTAGCAAAAATAAAAAAAGCTGAACTTTGTCAGCACAACAAAGTGCTTTGACTTGTTAATCAATGTTTTCTGATGTCATGTTGCCAAAGCCAAGGCAATTTTCGCTGGATTCACAAAGGTACAGTAAAAGAGTGACAGAAAAGTCGTACATAAGGGCGTCTTTTTTATGATGCAGTGGAGCCCACCGGTTTGACAGTTGCATCGTTTGAAAAACACAGCAATAAGGGGGGGCTCCATAATACATCAGTGCCGGGGTCTTTAAATCTCCCCCTAACATCAACTACATTACAGAACAAGACATGCATAAGCAAACAGTCGAACGGAGAATTGGTTCTCTAAAAGACAGGTTGTAAATAGATGTGTTTGGGTGTGTGAGAATGTGTGTGGTGAGAGGAAAACTCTTTTTTTTTTGTCCTGCTTTGCTGGGTGTAACAAATTGCCACACGTCTGACAGTCTCTTGATTTAAACGTCTGGCTCTGCTAATCCAAAGATCTAGAAACAATGACCTCCGAAGGACATATGGCCCGCTAATGCCATTCCTTAAGGCTGCAAAATATTACGTTAGGTTAATTTAGGCGATTCTTAAACATCATAGAAGTACCAGCTATTTACTGCTGTTGTAGTCCAAAGAAGATTTTTTAGACAAATTCTCCAAATCAAAGTAACAAAGTCTAACATATTCTGCCATTTAGCCTCACCAGTCAAGCCTAAAGAAACATTTCCCATAATGCAACTCGGTAACACGTTTAAATATCCATTTTCACAAGTGTGACGGTGCTGTGTGACCTTGTCTCGTGTATTGTCTCACTATCATTTATAAACAGTCGACGATGCAAACCGTGTGTGTTTTTCAGGAGAATCCGTATGTGATGCTGCGTCCGAACCACCAAGAGCTGGAGGGCAATGACCGATACGAAGGCTTCTGTGTGGACCTGTTAAAGGAGCTGGCAGATACTCTGAAGTTCAAGTATCGCATACGGCTGGTGGGGGACGGACAATATGGGGTCGCCGGAGCCAACGGAACGTGGACCGGCATGGTTGGAGAGCTCATATCAAGGGTATGTAGGACGGGGGAAAAGAACACATGCACGGCATGTAAACGAGCCCTACAGCCATAAGTCATGTTTTTTAATCACATCATATACACATATGAGTACACCAATGTCTAAAGTACTTTCTGATCTCTCCCGATATGAAAGTCCATACACAAATAGAACAGAAGTATCATTCTGCTCTCATATAGCTTTCCCTCATGTTGTACACACATTTTTCATTCAGCAGTCACAGTCACATTTTTTTTGGTGGCTTGTTCCGGGTCAGCTCCTTTCCTTAAGCCTTCCGAACTGACCTCAGAAGACTTTCCTCTCGCATCGGGGCATGTTGTTGCTGTAAAATCTCTGGGTGAGGTGTTCCACTCCTCTAGCTACGCTGTGACTCTTAACCGTCAGATAAGGTTATATATCGCTCAGTTCACGCCACACGACTTCAGCCCTGATTTCCTTCCCACCGGTGAAATCCCTCAGAGACAAGAGTTGACTTGGACAAAAATAAACGCACAAAGAAAAAAAAAGGAAAACGGTTGTGTTGGCCCATCGGCTGCGCTCGGATCAGAGGCAAATCACTTGCGTTCACAAATTGGCACCTGAGCCTTACGAACTGTTTTAAAGACACAAGCCAAAGAATCCCAGGAGCCCAATATGGCTGCGGCTGAAAGTGAGGCTTCGCTCAGGTCGCCAGACGGATTTCAGGTCTGGAACATGGTGGCAGACTACCATCCACACTTACGGGCACTTAGTGGTGAATTAGCCTCTTCGGGCTGTGGGAAGAAGCCAGAGACCTTTGGCGAGAACCCACGCTGGCAGGGGGAGAAGATGCAAGCTCCTCACAAAACGGGCTATTTTGGGAACATGCGTGACAATAACCAGATCAACAACAATCGTGGCCACGATGGAAGTTGAGGAGTCCCTTGAATAGACGGTTGTGTTCTACACAAAATAACATATAATGCCATTTTCCCTGTCACTTCTCGCACGTGTTTCCGTGGCAAAAGGGTCTCAGCTGGGATGCCTCCCGGTGAAAGACCTTGTTCGTCGGATAGTCATGTAGTGTGAAACCCGCTAGAGGAGTCACGGTTACAAGACAGCAAGTTGTGCGGTGTTAACAGTACAGCGATCTGACAACTTTGAAAGTCGTGTAGTGTCAATTTGGCTTATGGGAGTATAAACTGAGACACGGCGGGGGGGTTAAAAAATAGGGAGGAGGAAGGCTTGGGTCTGGAAGAGGAAAAAAGCAATGAAGAGAAAAGTCGCTCCTAAGAGGTGATCCGTCTTAATAATGCGGGCTAATGGAGGGCAAAGCCATTAAGCATGTAAAGCAAGGCGTGCCGGCTCCTGCTGATGTCACAGCCTGCCACCGCCTTCATCCCCTGCAGGTCGCCTGAAGACGGCCGACCTTCAGAGGTGCCGTGGATAAAGTCAACGCGCCGTTGGGGGGGCGGACTGAAAGTCAAGACGCACTTCAGAGACCTTTTTCACTGGATTGGGGTGCAGCTAGTGGGATGTTTCGATAGTGGACAGAAAGGATTGAGCTTGTTTGGGCAAAGGCTTATATGGGGATGGGGAAGATGGCGGAGTATAAAAAGATTATGACAGATAACAAAGGAACAGCCCGGGTTGCAAGTTTAATGGATAAGCTGAAAGGATATGAAATATCTACTCGGTAGCAGCGAAGGAGGGCGGCCTGAGGTTATTCGGGACAACAGATACCAGTGTCCCTGCCAGTATGATTTAGATTGAACAATATTTCACTGTGTGAGGGTGGCTAGTTTGACGGGTGTCCAGGCAGCCTGAGCTAACAATGAGACGTCATGCCAGGAGGAATCCTGACGTACTTGTAACAAACTCTAAGAACAGGATGTCCTGGTTCCTTAATCCACCTCGCTGCAGTAGAACAGAGGCATCTCCAACAACTAAACTCCTAAAGTGAAATGCTACATCCTAGGGGGGTAATGTTTAATTCATCCCTTACATCTGAAAGTTTTATTTAGCCTTTTTTTTTTTACCCATAATGATTGAATGCAAGTGGAAACGATTAAGATGCAATATTGAACAGTTAACATTACAGCGGGGTTTTTTCTTCCAGTAACTGTGGAAGGCACAACAGCAGGCAGGCAAAATAATCCAGTAATCATTATTAATGTTCTATCTTCACATAAATATTTCAGAGGCTGTTATGACCGTGTGTTCATATTTCAAAGGATCAGCGGCTTCCTTTGTTGGAATTGCCTAGACGGTCGTTCTCTGCACGTAAAGCACTGGGAGCAGGCAATCGGCGGAGGGAGGAAGAGGGGGAGGGGGAGGAGGCCGGGGACGGCCGGCGGTGGGAGGTCAAAGCCTGCGGTGGACGGTAGGCGTCCGTGTGGAGTGCAGGCCGGGCCCGAGGTTAAAGAGCTGGACATTTTTGAGCGCCACGCAATACTTAGAGCGCAGACGCAGCGTGATTGAGGCCTTCTAGCTGAGGCTGCACGCGTCTTCTGGTGGCATTTCAAACCCGCTCTGAAGGTTAGGAAAATCATTTAAAAAAACATTTTTTACCGCAACTCAAAATGGATGTCGAATCAAAAACACTCTTTTCCATGCAAGCCGGATGTCGCATTCCCGGAGATTGGGGATTCTAAATGGCGTCTGCAGGGCTGCGGCACAACTCCCCTCTCCTGACTCATCCTCCAATTCCTCTCTGTCCTCCTGGTTCTCCTGCAGCAGACAAAGAGCAACGCGTTGCTGCTTTCACTCTTTGCTCCTCGGGGAGGTGAAAAATCCCTTGTAGTTGCACTTTGCTGGCCTGTATTATTAGCAGGAAGCTGTCCAGCATTCAGTGTACATTGACCATTTCTATGTGGGCGCGCGCGTGTGTGTTACTAAGTGTGTCTTTTACCAGCTTCTGCTTTGTCAAGTGATTTGTCCTGACAGTGTTCCCTTGGCCAGCCACAATGCTTCCCCGTAGCGCTCTTCTGCGCTACAAAGAAACACACACATAAACACACACACATAAACACACACACATAGGGCCAATGCTGAATTATCCTCACCACAGAGCTATTGATGGACAAATAGCCACGGGATGAAAAAAAAAAGGGTCATCACTGGGGAATTAGCATTTAGTGGCTCACTTCTTATTCGATCCTTTCAAGCTCTCAAACGATCGGTTAATGCCATAAACTGATGTTACGTCCTCACAGCTGTGGGCAATGTGCTTTTGACTGTGTGTTCACGAGACCTGATTGCACTCCCTCCCTGGCTTTCAGAAAGCGGACCTGGCAGTCGCAGGTCTCACCATCACAGCGGAGCGTGAAAAGGTCATTGACTTCTCCAAGCCCTTCATGACCCTCGGCATCAGCATCATGTACCGCGTCCACCTGGTGAGTTCCCCGGTCCTATTTCACCTGTATCCTCTTGTGTTTTCACTACCCTCCTCGTTCCTCTGTCCTCCTCCGACTCTTAGTGTGGCTTTCTTCTTGATCTTACCTTGATCAAACTAATACTGTAGCAGTGTCCGTGTCTTCACTTCTCCTGTTAGCTAATTTTCACCTTCTGTTGCCGTGCGCCCCCCTCGCCCCCCCACTTCCCATCCTCGCAGCACCAGATGGCATGTTTACCCCTGTGAACTTCCAGCATGGGTTTGGCCGTCCTACCACAAGCAGCAGCAGTGCAGGTGGAAATAAGCCAAGTGTTTGTAGAGTCACTGGCCCATTACTCAATAGTCCTCCCCCAAAAACCCAAGGAGACGTACAGCAGAGGCCACAGACCGTACTTGATGTGGTTTGTGCATCGGTTTTTTTTCTTTTCGCCCTTTTATCTGTCTTCCACCATCATTTTCAAATGCTCGTTCCACTCCCTTATTGCCCATTGGCGCCTCCTCAGATCTCAATCAAAGCAGTCCCTCAACATGGCTGTAAAATTCAATATTTGAATTTGCGTTACCGCCCTCAGTTCTAATCCAATGACAATTGATCTGAGACACAGTGGTTTCTACAAGAGGCTCTGCTGCTAATTTGAAACTTTAAAAGAAAACCTCAGTCTAATCAATAAGAATGGTGAATGCAATCAAATAAAGGTGCTAGTTGAGCATTAATTACCGTCAGACATTCAATCAACTATTTCTACTCCATGTTTGTATTTCTTTATTCTACGTCTCTTTTATTTCACTCTCATTGTCTCTGTCTGTACGCTGTCCCTCCGCCATCACCCAGGCCGAGAGCATTTCGTTTTCACATTGTCTCTCTCCTGCGTCCCATTTTGTGAAGACAATATGTCAGGAACGCCTGGAGAGATATTCTTTAAAAATGTTATTGGACTATTATATGGAATAAAGGGAATTTGCTCAACCAAAGTCACTACGACCTCACTAAACACGTTTTTTGGCCATAACTCAAGAATTGAAATCCTAAATATGACAACTGATATCACATGTGTCAGAAATGATGAATTGAGGACATGTCTGGCCTACATGACTGAAAATCCATTGGACCTCCACTTAATATGTCTCTAGTTCTCCAGCTGTCTTGCCTGACTATTTTGTTGCTGGTTGTTGGTTTGCAATAATGTACTATGGTGATGTAGTACTTTGGCGTGTGGTTTCAGGCCATATAAATAGTCCGTTTAAATGAATTAGATTCCTCATAAAAACCATCACTCCCGCAACATCCATCATCTGTATAACAAAGAGCCACCTGCTGTAAGCAGAGACTCCAGCACTCCGAGGTACGTTGCATCTGTGGCAGTTCCATCACCCCAACGCTTCCTTCATTTTGGTACTGTGAGTAAGCTCATTGTGCATTCGAGAGAAGGAGAGAGCGCTGCTTAGTTAGACACAGCAGCTAATTAGGGGCGAGTGAAAGCCGTGTCAGATTCAGCAGCTGCCCTGAGGGTAGAGCGTGGCATATGGAGCTTTATTGACTCTTTGGCCGCACGCAACCTCAGACGAAATTACACGGTAACACATGTAGCCGTGCGCACGCACACACACCTACACGCGCATCTTTCCCACGGTACTGCACAGTCACAATATTATAAAATTAAACACACAAACAGAGAGCCAGACTGGGACCCTGGAGACAGCAGGATGTTGCTAGGAATACAATAATTTGACCTTTGCCAAATCAACTGATCTCTACCGGTTGCACCTGCGGCGATCTCATCAGCAGTAACAGCTGATCGCGTCGAGTCTGAAACGATTAGAAAAGGCACACTGTATCAAAGGGCCCGGCAGAAAAGACAGGAGGTGGGGAGGCACGGGGGATGGAAAGGAGGAAAGACCAAAGAGAATAAAGCGAGAAAACAGGCGGGAAGAGATGTAAACGGGGACCTAGAGAAGACGGAGAAACCAGAGCAAGAGTTAAAATGACAATGGGAAGTCTCCTTCGGGCAGTCAGTACACAGGCAGCCTCAGGAGGCAACAGCGTGGTATGAATACCAAAAGGCAGGATGACTAGCTGAAATCCTTGACTGGATAACCTCACCAGCTCCTTCACTGTGCGATCCCAGGAGACGGGGACGTGCAATGAAGGAGTGACAGTGGGAAGCTGAGACAGAACAAGGGCAGCGAAAGGTAAAAAAAAGAAGCAGCTCTTCATGTGCGAGAGAGGAAAACTCTTATTTGTTGACACGTACTCAGGTCGTGAAGGATTCTTTCCAATCTGCACCGCATCTACCGTCCATCGATCTTCCTTACGCCCTCTTATCATCTTAACGTGACGATAAACCTTTAGAAAAAAGGATTCCCACCCCTCTAATGAAAATAACTCAGAAAAAGTTAATCTATTAAGCAGCATGGCATATGGTGCTACTCTACTCCCTTTATTGCTTATTGTTTAATACCTTAACCATTACTATTTTGTGTCTTTTTGCCCATCGCGTCACAGTGCGTGGAGCAACTACCAGATCAGCAGCAGTTGCTGTGTTTTCCTCAGCTATCAATGCGTCATCGTCGGTGCTCTCTACGCACACTCGGTCGCCCAAGCACGCACTGTTCCTGCGCTGCTGCAGATGACTGACAGCACAGACAGCTGCTGACAAGCTTTGAAATACAAGCACACACAAACATGTCAGCTTCTGACAGTGTCTCTTGAACACAGACTCACCTTCCAAAATGAAGAGGGAGCAGACCACCTATAGTAGCTCAATGTTTAGACAATCTTGGGCCGTTTGACAGGAGGGTATTAGTGGATTTGTACATTTCGCACTCAATGTTTACATGCGTGACGTATTAAGTGTGCTATTATCAGCGACACTCGGCCCTCAGTTGAAGACGTTGACCGGTGGTAGCGTCTTTGAATGCGGTTCTTGTCAGCCTCAGCGAGCAGTTGACAGACACAGGAGGGTCGTCAGCTGATTTGGCTCCCATGGGCCCCCGGTGCTCTAAATGCTGGCACCCGTAGCTTCCCCCCGAAATCCCTCCTCGACTCCTCTATCCTCCTCCTTCATCAATGACCTGATCCCAAACCCAACGGAGACCCGCCCCCTGAAGGATCTCCCAGTGCATTAAAGGCGCCCGTAGGAGACGGGAATAGAGGTGGGCTTCCAGAGGAGCGTGAAGTCAGGAGGCACAAGTGCTGTTTCTGCTTTACGTTTCTAAATGTTTCCACATCGGGGGTAACACACGACTATTATCCGGGAGAAACTAAAAGTCAACTTTCACAATTTTTGTCATTCTTCACTCACTAGTGACGCAATGAAAGTTGTTTCCAGTTGTTTTGCTGCCCTAGAACTAACTTTCTGGAAGAACGAAATATAATTTTCAAAAGACACTTTGCATATAAAGTGCATATATTGAGAAAAGTAGTCTCCCAGTCGCTGAAAAGGACTGAGGGGTGTAATTATAATCTCTGCGGTCTGATAAACCATAAATCAAATGCAATATCACAGCTTTCCATACAACTGTAACTAGCTGTCACCCGCTATGGCTGTCATGTCCCTCCGTGTGGAGGCATAGGTGTGATTTCATTGAACACTGAGGAAGAGCGCAGGACTTCAAAGGAAATATTACATAGTGGCCAAATAGTGGAATTTCAATGTATTAGTAGGTCACGTGATTCTATGGGGCCCAAAAACTATCTGGAGTATAGTATACTGTAGTATTGGGAACTGTAAATCGTAAGCTAAAATAGTATGAACAGCCCTTGTTTTAATTATTAGGTCATTCATTCATTCATCCATCGTCAACCGCTTATCCGTGTTGTAAAATAGACAAGTTATAGTTATTTTCTGTCCTTTGTTCAAGTGATTTAGCTCAGGAACATGGCTGGACTGAGGGTTAGGAGGTGAGCGCCCTGCAGAAGTTATTCTAAAATAATAGTTCTCTCGATACATCCATAGGTTTTAGCTCTCAGCTCTTTTTTGCATTATTCAAAGTTATTGAATGGGTGGAATCAGGCTGAAACCTGGGGGTGAAGTTAGACTTTAAGCACTGATGTTTTTAAAATGGAATAAAAATATCCTGACACATTTTGGATGCATCCACACATAGTTTAAATACATTATGTGCGGTCCCCAATTTATCTCAATGTCTGAGAGCTCATTAGTGTGTCTCTTGCAGCCTCACCATGGATAATTTATCCAGCAACCCCTGCAAACTTTGTCATTGAATGTTAAAACACACATATTATACCACACAAGTCAAGGTATCCCTGTAGCACAGCACTTTTTTTTCAGGTGTTTTTTGTACTTTCTCTCTTCCAATCTTTCCTTTTGTCTTAATTTCTGATCAGCCCTTCTGCACCTTTAGATATCCGCTAACCGCGTCTTTACGCATCTTTTAATTTCACTAATAGCCCCTTGGGAGGAGCTTAAGATGCGAACACACGGGGCAAGCATTTAACAAAAAAATGCAGGTTCAGCATGCACCACACTGGACCAGCAAACAGGAGGACTCATGCCAGCACATACTGCTGTTACCACAATAATGTCACTGGCAACAAGAGAACGCTTGGCAGATCTACTCGTTTTACCAAAGTACTCAATCATGCAAAAGGTTTACACTGGATCTCCCTCTCCTGCTCTGCTTTTCTGCACCCATCCTATTTTACTTAGTCAGGCTAATAAGTGATTACAGACAAATGGATGAATTTTCTTGCCAGCACAACTCTGAATGGTTGTTTGTTTATCTTAACAAATGCTCAGCAACAAATTACATTTGTGTGGGGCTCAGAAATGTGTCACTGCAGTATTTCGGCATGCATGACTTCCCAAAGCAGCAACTAATTGAATATTTTTGCATGAAATCAATTTGGGCTTGTTCAGGTGCTCTGCAGTAATGAACTTTGTAATAAAAAAAACTGTCCTAACAACACTTGGAAAGTTGGATATTTGATCACTTCCTCTATTCACCGATGTTGATGGCCCTGATATCCAACTCCCTTTTATAGTAATTAGAAAATGGTCAACTCACATTTGTGTGTAAATGGTTAATATTCCCTTGCTTGTATTTGGTCTATAGGCCAAAAATATACATCAGAAACATGAGCATGTAATTAACGCCCACGATGACCAGTAATTGCTTTCATTTAGAGGACAATAGCTGGAAATGAAACTTAGCCCCTATATTCCCATTGGCCTGCTGGCTGCCAACACTATTGTGGCCGTTTCATCTTCTCTTCCACTGGTTACCAAGCAAAAGGCATATCAGCCCACAGCTGCCTCAGCACAGCTGTTTAAGCCAAAACTACAAATAATCTTGTTGCTTTTTTTCTCCAAGCTGGGCTCCCTGGGCTACCGTCCATATATGAAGTCAACTGTAGGTCACAGAGATACATTTTGGTTTAATGTAGCTATAATGGTTTAGTTAGTAAGTTGACCTTGCTCTCTCTAATACATGCAATCTTGTGGAGAGTGCAAATGATGTGTGTTTTGACCTTGTCATGGTTCTTTGATTATTTGACCTATTATTCTATTGGGTGTAGTTTCACATAAAAGCATACTTTATCCCAATTAATAGTAATAATAGTAAACAGTAGGCACGTTTTTTTTATTTTTTTTTTATACCAGAATCCATGAAATAAATCCTCTTATCTCTGTGATCTGTTGACAATTCATGCGAGACTGAGTGTACTTCCATACAATGTGCATCTGAATGTTTACATGAGATGTTATCAGTAAGAACAGGACATTCAGGCTTATCATATGAAAGTACCTTTATTTACTGTCCCTTTTTACTCTTTTCTAAATCACACAAACGGCAGAAAGTGTTGTTTTAAAGGAACAAAATTGAGCCTTTGGCCAAACAACAAACAATGAATTACTCTTTGCACATTGTGGGGGTGGTGGTAGAGATTTAGATCTTTATTTGTTTTTTCATGCCAATTTGCTCAACTTTGCAATTAAGCATTTGACCTCTTGTTCAGGGAGCCCGTGTTGTGGTGCGTCTCGGGAATTGAGTGTTTCTGTGTCTTGTTTTTCAGGGCCGGAGGCCAGGCTACTTCTCCTTCCTGGATCCCTTCTCCCCCGGCGTCTGGCTCTTCATGCTTTTGGCCTATTTGGCTGTCAGCTGTGTCCTCTTTCTGGTGGCCAGGTAAAGAGCTCAACAGTAAAATACGCTCTGTACAGCTAGGGGGGGGGGGGCAACAAGTACGACAAGAAAAACAATTGAGATAGAAAGAGGTGAACCACAAAACTTTGTTTGGGGGTTACACAGAAAGGGAACAGATGTTTGTCCCTTACTTTTCTTCAGGTGGTTCTATCTATTCTATCTCCCACATCCAGATAAAAAAGAAATCCCTCCCCCCCCCCCCCCCCCCAGTTGTGTCTCCAGCGTCATACTGGCCCCTGCTGGTCTCAGAGAGAAGTGTGAATAAGTGAATAAGCACTCTTAAAAAGAAACTTTATTAACACCTTCGTAAATTCAAATATGAGTCCAAGACACGTAGATGTATTACCTGTGGGAGAGTGTTCAGTGGATGATTCACTGTAATTAATTTGAGTGATCATGACAATGTGCTTGAAATATACTTTGTTTTCACCGACTTGCTAAGAAAATGATTTCCTGTCAGCGTGGCTATTAAGTTCTCTGTGAGTGTTATTGTTAATTCCACAGATTTCTTTCTAAAGTAAATCCGATCCAGAGTTCTTTTTCTTTGCAAAGAACAGATTCCAGGAGACAAATCATCTACAAGTCTTTGTTGTTGAACAGGACACCAATATTCTTTTAATCTACATATAAACATGTCAGTCTTGTATTAAGCCTGTATTTGATCATTTTAGCGTATTAGAGGGAGATTATTCCACAGTTTTAAGACGGAGACTGTTAAACGCATCGTGATTGTCAGAGAAATTCAGCCTCATGATACCTTTTGAACATACCAATTACATTAGTAAATTGGTATTACCTTCACCCCTGCTGCTTAAGTAGGCAGCGCATGGGGAATGAAAAGCAGGCTGCTACTCTGCAGGGAGCCAAGGTGACTTTGTGCTCAGTTGACTGTTAAAGATGTTTTGCTGAGTCTCTGTCCGTCGCTTTCTTCCTCCATTCCGCCCGCTCCCTTTCTCTTGAGTTTTTGTTCTCGTCTGAATACTTAATTGACCGTCCTCCTCTGAATATCTCCGAGGTCTAAACCCATCGTCTCGTTCTCCCCAGATTGACGCCTTACGAGTGGTACAACCCCCACCCGTGTCTCAAAGGTCGCTGTAACCTGCTGATAAACCAGTACTCGCTTGGCAACAGTTTCTGGTTCCCCGTTGGAGGCTTCATGCAGCAAGGATCCACCATCGCTCCGAGAGCTCTGTCAACACGTTGTGTCAGCGGAGTGTGGTCAGTATTGGTGACAGGGACGCACAAACATTAGTGCATGTCCACCTTTTTTTGCTTTCAAATCTACAAAGGCATACAACCCTTCAACTCTGTTCTGTATAAATGTTGCGCCTGTTTTAGGTTAAAGATTTTATCTTTAATGTGGTCTCTTAAGCGTTATTCCAGATATTCTGGACATAAGGGTTTGAGTTGAGATTAGTGCATAGACATACATGGGACTATTTGTCTGTGTTTGACTGCTACTGCAACTAAAACATCACTTCCTTTCATTCAAAGCAAGCAATGTCTCTTTTTTTCCTCACCCACTCATGCATCCACTGAAAGTCCTGCATGGTTTTCATCTCTCAGGTATAGAGATGGATAATATAGATACACCGCGCAGATCTTTCTCTCCTCCCCAGTGTCTCCCACCCGATCCATCTTCATTCACCAGCCGGCCTATTTGCATACGTTTATAGATGAATACATGTTCTCGTCCGCTGCCTTTTCTCCACAGGTGGGCGTTCACATTAATCATCATCTCATCCTACACTGCCAACCTGGCTGCCTTCCTAACGGTCCAGAGGATGGAGGTGCCGATAGAGTCCGTGGACGACCTGGCAGATCAGACAGCGATCGAGTACGGCACCATGCACGGAGGATCCACAATGACCTTCTTTCAGGTAAGTGGTCACACGTGTCGTTGACTTTGATTGCTTGTCTGTTCACAGCCGCGCATATGGCTTCAGACTGAAGAGCCTGCAGTGATCAGTGGGGCATCAGAGGTGTTAATCCTCCCCGTCACCCTCCTTTCCTTTCGGTCTTCCCACACCAACCAACAGTTGTATGTGTGATGGTTCTATGTCTCATCCAGGCCACAACTATTCAATATCACTAATCTTCAGGAAGATTGTGCACTTTACAAGTCCCTAAGAGAAAAAGGCCGTATTCTTCTCAAGCAGGACTTGACCGAGACAAATATCCGCCTCGGCATTTTGGCCCCAGATTATCCCTCCACAATAGATCCCACACCGGCCATCTTTGCTCGCTCCTGAATATGTAGGCCATGCCAACTGTTCCAGTCCATAAAGCTGTGTCGTAGGTAAGAGGGAATCGATGATACCTTCAAAAAGGGTCATTTGCAAAATGTTATACTGCACTGTGATGAAAAGGGCTTTCCACACGGGTGTGGAGTAGCCAGCCAGGGGCTACTTACTACTAACATTTGTCAAACACTGAGGATGATTCTCCGCTCTGCACACAGCAGAGCGCACATACACATTTATATACATAGAGTGTGTGCGGGGTCAGGACTGATGAAAACAAATACGCACATTCAACCATCATCATCATCAGTGTCAATTTAAAATGGTTTGATCTACTCCGTTTATGGGCGAATCAGACAAGATAAAAACAGACATTTGTGTTGGACAAAAAAGCACATCAGCCTAACTGGGGAGGAGCCTGGCCTGCCAGATGGCCAGCTCCAGCCTTGTCTCAGCGAGAGAGGGAGAAAAAGAATGAGAGACAGGGTAAGTAACAGATAAAGAGTGTATAAGGGGGAGAAGGACAGTGAAGGATGCTGTGCAGAGAAGGGATACATTAGCTCCGTCTTTGTCCTTTCACATCCAATGGACCTTGAATAGCTCAGAGAAGACAAGCTAAGAGAAAGTGCAATTGGAGATGTTGAGTGAAGGTTGCGTTCTACACAAAGCTCTGCTAAAGAAAGCGCATTCACATTTTTACTGCAGCAAACCTTTCAGATGATTAGACAAATAATCAGTTAACAAAATGGAAAACAACAAAGTTTGACAAACAATCTCTACTTCTGCAAACCTGAAAAATGACGAATATGCAACTGATGAACTGAATGTGTTTCTCCTGATTGTGTCGCTCCGCTCTGCAGAACTCTCGCTACCAGACTTACCAGCGTATGTGGAACTTCATGCACTCAAAACAGCCCAGTGTGTTTGTTAAGAGCACGGAGGAGGGCATCGCCCGTGTCCTCAACTCCAACTATGCTTACTTGCTAGAGAGCACCATGAACGAGTACTACCGCCAGAGGAACTGCAACCTGACTCAGATTGGAGGGCTGCTGGACACTAAGGGCTATGGCATCGGCATGCCGCTCGGTGAGTAGGGGGTGAGGCCCCGGATCGAGGGGGAAAGAGGAGTGAGGGAAGAGAAGGGGCAATAGTTTGGAGGATCCGATCTCGTGGAAATGCTGAGCTGTGGGAGAAGTGAGGACGAGAGAAAGAGAATTTGAAATATTGTGCTGCAAAACCTGCTGTTTGTGGAGCTGTCGCCTGCTGCTCCGAGAGTTAACTTACCCTTTGATCTCAGTTTGAGTAAATCTCCAGACGGGGGGGAAACACGTTAAAGTAATCAAGATTAATTTAAATTCCTTAAATCTTCAGAGGGTAGATAAACCCGCTCTTTAGAAGCTGACGTTCTGTATCATATACTGTGATATGACTTTTTGAACCGGGGAATCCTAGTAAACCCTTTAATCTCGTATGGAGTAACACAATTACATGCCCACCACAACAAATCAGAAGAAAAAGCCTACAACATTTTATTTGAGCAAGTTTAATTTGTACTGCAAAAAATCCTTCTGTTCCATCTGGATGTATGGAAGTTTCAGTTTTAAATATGTATTCCTCGTCGGGTGTGCTTTTGCAGTGTGCAGGCTTGAGCTTTGCCTCTCTCTTCCCTTCAGGGTCAGTGTACCGTGATGAGTTCGACCTGGCCATCCTGAAAATGCAGGAAGACAATCGTTTGGAGATCCTCAAGAGGAAGTGGTGGGATGGTGGCAAGTGTCCAAAGGAAGAGGACCACCGCGCCAAAGGTTTGTCGCCGGTTAATCCTCATCTCCCAGTTCTTCAGCTCCCCTTTCAGTTTGTCAGGCAGTGATTTTGGAAGAATCTTTCTGTTTCTTTGCCGGTCTGTTTCCCTTAATCTCCTGACTTCTATTTCCGTATCCTGCCTGTTCCCCAGGCCTGGGCATGGAGAACATCGGTGGTATCTTCGTGGTGCTGGTGTGTGGCCTGCTGGTGGCTATCTTCATGGCAGTACTGGAGTTTGTGTGGATGTTAAGACAGACACCCGGAAATGAGGTGAGAGAGGGCTATCTAACCTGCATCTGCTATGTCTCCCTCTCCTCCCCCTGGCACCTCCCCCCCCGGGGAGCCGCCAGGCTTCCCAACCGTTCACAGCTTTGACAGGAAGTGTGAGAGGCGTCTGTTGTTTGGTGTCCAACTGACACCCAGCTTCCCTCTGTCCAGTAGTTGTGACATCAGCACAAAACTAAAGATATACCTCACGTGCACCTCAGCCAGGGTACATTCATATATGGATTGTTTTTTATTTATAGCGGTGTAAATAAATATTGCAGCGGCCAAATACATATATTTCATATTACACATAATAGGGAATATTGAGTGTAAATCGATCTTATTGGTTGTGACTACATGCTTACAGGGTGCTGCCAATAAGAGTTTATTCATAAAAATAATTCTGATTGTTTTCTTATAGACTTCAGTCATCTTTTACAGAAGATGCTATTCTTGGCATTGTGTGCACATCTTTTCTGAAAATAGTGTTGTCAGAGGCCAGATCTCATTCCCCCCATTAAAGGCTGAATGTTGTAGAAAGTGTAATTGACTAGTTGTGTCCAGATGTCAATAGAAGGAAGGCTCTGTTTTGGATTGGATTGGAAGACTTCAACGTAGCCCACAGATATGGAACCAGATCCGGGCCAAACGTTTTGATCAATTGAAAAACAAATGTGAACCTGAATGTTTTGGTCTTGAACATTGGAAATTCTTAACAATATATTAAAAATAAAATTAAGTGGACGAAAAGCCTTTTTGGTTTAAATATAATTTCAACTCAGTTCTTAATATTTTTATTCTTCACTTTTCACTTCAGTTTTCGGTTTCAGATTCAAATCTTATATCTTCAAGTTTCAAATCTTTAACTTTTGGATTGTATTTTTTCACATTCAGACTTTTGGCCCTGATCTGGCGTAGGGGCCGTCACATCAACTGGGAGGTATTTGTTTTTTTAAATGATCTAAATTTTTGGCCTGGATTTGGCCCCATGCACAGATAACTTCACATATATTGTGATGCTTATAATCCTAAATATTGTATTAAAAATCCAAATTAAATATGTTATTATAATTATTTGAATTCAGCCTCTAATCTGCAGACCAAAAAATCAACAATTGAGATGAAAGATGTGGATGCAATGTTATAATTATTTCTGATGTGATTTCTTAAAAGAACCTGATCATTGTCTTTTCAAATGGACTCCACACTGTAATTTAATTCAATAAACATTCATAATGTGAAAGTCAAAACTTATGTGATTTCTTCATTTTGAGCAGGATAGATTTACTTCTCTCGAAATCCCCTGTGGATGTGTGTGCGTCCATGCGTGTGTGTTTGTGTACATGTGTGCCTGTGTGCATGCTTGGGGTTTTTTATGTGTGGATTTTCCAGTAGCCTCTTGTGTCTTGCACCTCAAACGCAGAACCATGTCTGTCGCTGTCATTTTTTGAGTTTGTGGAGTAGCAGATAAAATGTGTGTGTAACATGCCTGTATTTCTAAAAACCGTAGAGTGTGTGTTGTGATTTTTGCCGACGGTCACTGTGCAATCATGATTATAATACACATATGAAATGTATGTGTTGTGTGTCTGTGATCCCCCTCTCCCCTGTCTTTTCCTCTCTTGTTTGTATGCTTGCAGCAGTCAGTGTGTGAGGAGATGCTGCGGGAGCTCCATGGGATCGTCCTGTGTCGAGACAGCCTGCAGGTGAGGCGCAGGCGGGGGGCTTCGGGGCATCGGCCGCGGCCCTTATTGCCCCTGGAGGAGCGTCGCGCTCGAGCTGCCGCCGTCAGCCTCAGCAACGGCAAGCTGTGTGCGGGCACCGGACTGCCCGAACCCCTCTCCCACAGACTGGCGCAGGAGGCGGCCCTGGTCGCGAGGGGCTGCAGCCACATCCGCATTTGCCCCGAGTGCCGGCGCTTCCAGGGACTGAGGCTGCGTCCTTCGGGGGCCCTCCCTTCTCCCACACACAGCGAGGAGAGCATAGAGTGGGACAAGACCACAAATAGCAGTGAACCCGAGTAACGCGCCACGATCGCAGAAGGACGGACTTTCCCAACAGCCACCTATCTACTTCACAGGGATCCGAGTACTTTGATTCAGCCATCTGGAGCCTGGTCTCACTGGGCAGGACGGTGCTGTGGACTTTGTTTTGCCCTCGGAGGCAAATGCCTCTAGTCCGTTTCGTAGTCTCCTTGGGTGATTCTTTTTTCCTTGGTCGTGGGGGAAACTGATGAGTCTCGTTTTGGTCTGTCCCTTTTCGCCCTCTGTACTAAGTCAGACAGGGCAGATAAAAACAGCTATGGGGGATTTGTACTATGCAGTATTTTCAGTCATTTATCATGTGCTGTTATCTTTTTTTTCCAGTTTTTAAATTATTTTCGCTCTCTGTTGGAATATCATTATTAAATATTGTTATTCTGTTGTTCTTAGTAAAAAACTTTAAATGAGTTCCTTTTTTTTAATCTTACAATTTGCTGTAGGATCGTATATTGCCTCTGAAGAGCTGCGAAGATGAAAAGACCGATGAGAGGTCATCTCCAAATCCTTTTATTTTGAAAGTGCCAAAAACCACAAGTACCATCTTGCGGCTAAAGAAAGCACCACGGCCTTGAGAAGACAACAAACTGAACTGAACCCAGGAAACAAACAAAGCGAGACATACAAACACACAGACTTCTTTTATAGTGATATTCCCTTAAAACATGTTTTAACTGTTGGTTCCCTGAAGGACAGCGATGCACCTCCAGAAGTGTTCAGAGGTGCTCATCTGTGATTAATAGATGTGGTTGCTGAGTCGCTGCAACAACGATTTCCTGTTTTGAATCCCTGCTTAAAAACATGATGGCTACACGCACACACACACACACACACACACACACACACACACACACACACACACACACACAAGGACATATATTACTTCCCTGCTTCCTTTCTCCTACATCTGTCTTAACATTTTTGTCACCATGACACATTTATTATCATTAAACTGTATTTTTTATGGTCTCCTGTGCAGTCTGTAGAGATTAGAGGTATATTCTAGAACAATCCATGTTTCAGAAGGACACTATGTGGCACTAGCTCATGTAAAGACCAACGAAACACGTGCAGACGCCTTTAATATCCACAGTTGATTTGAATTCTTTTAAAATGTTACGGCAGTTGAGCTTTTACTGACTGTGATGTTTAACACACTGCTTATTTCCTTTCAGATCTGCAGAGAAGCTGTCTGACATTGTCACACTTACCACCAATTTGCCACTTTAAATACTTTAAGAGGTTTTTAATGTATACTAACAAAGGACATAACCGAAATATTTGATGTATAAATTCAATTGGGTTGTATTGATGGAAAGAGTAGTTGTCTTTATTTGCCGTATAACAACCATTCCTCCAGAAGTGAAACAACATGAACAAACCACCAGCAAGAATTATTAGGTTACTTCCTGCATAGACTCCACTGGTATTTATCCAAGGTGATATTGTGTGATTGTCGGACTGTTGCATTGTGGGAATCCGTCATCCAACTGTCTGTCCTGCATTTTTCTCATGTCTGATTTTTTTTTTTTTTCCAGTGACAGTGCTTTAGAATTAAGCCTACAGCTTATTAGTGAATGTTGAATTCAGGTGTCCGACCTATTGCACATTCCACGTTTATTTTTAATATTTTTTTTGCATTGGTTGAACAGTTGTGAGATGTCAAATCAAAATAGATCACAGTACCTACACACAAACTAACACACCAAAATCTGCCTGACAAAATAGCAGTCCTCAACCTATGAAGGAACCAGGGATACGTCTTGCCTCACTATGGTTACCATTTCTCTAATGGTAGATAATGTGATGATGAATGAAGAAATGACTTGGATACTTTGGCAGAACTTCCTTCCTCAGATACATTAAAATACATTTCTTTGCAACGTAATCATAATTCATGGAATACATTTGATGTTTTTAGTGTGTTTATGATAATCTGGACACATGATAATCATGGCTCTCATGCACGTATGTGACTGATCACCCCTTGCTGTTGAATCAGTCATGTGTTTTTACCATTTTAGATGCACACAGATATGAGGAGTTCACCCAAACTTCTTAAACAAGGTTTTTCAGGCACCAGCTGCAGTGATGCAGCTCTTTCGGGACTCTTTCAGAAGCTGCTGAACGTGTCTCGCCGTGTTGAACCAATCGCTGACAGACTCGACAGGGAACTGCATCTCAATTGTATCAACCATCAATTTGCTCAAAAGAGATGTTTCAGTTAATTGATGGTTCTGAGCAACTGGGCAACCAGTCTGACAAATGAGTGGAATTGCAAATTGTGTTTTTCCCCACTTTTTCAATGTCCGTTTAATTAACTCCTGGAGAGTGTGTCGCTACTTCAGGTGGCGTTTTGTTTTTCGGTTCTTCAGTTTGTCTCCCACAAGAATACATCGGCGTTTGTAACAGCCTTGAATTTGAGTGATTTGGCAGAGGAACAAAATGAGTCACAGTGGCTTTATGTCATCGTCTGCTTAAGCACCAATAGTGCCAATCCACCCAGTCCTCAAGTAATGAACCATTGATGTCCCACGGATGGTGTGTAAATACAGTATGATTAAGTTCCAAAGTAATAGTCCGAAGTGTTGTTTTGTTAATTGCAGGGTAACAAGTTTATTGTTTTAATAGAACAGACCTAACGTGTATTATGTTTGTATGGACAATTATGACATTCAGACACGTATACATGTCACAGATTGTGAGTAAAAAAAGATCAAAAATATCTTCACCTATAGGCAGTGGTAACTTTCTATGTTAAAGGCAAATGGCCCGCCAAATAGCGAGGACAAAAAATACCCACATTTCATTACAAGTTTTGTAAAAGGTTTCTATCAATTTGAAATTCATGAGAGTAAGAAGGCTCCCGCTGCAACCGATGCTAACTTCTTAAACACTGAAAACATTTACAGCGGCGCCAAATCAAGCGTGGTTGGAATGAGATTGCCAATTACCTTGAAGGCAATGAGTCCAGTAAGAGTAAGAATTAAAACAAATCCCACTGAAACAGGCAGTGACCTTTGCTGGGAGACCACTAAGAGAGATGGCTGCTATATTTTATATACTTTATTTTCTTATGTTGACATTTTTATCCCATTATAATTATAAATACATAAAAACAACCTCTATCCTTTGGGTTCTGGTTTTGTGTCTTCTTTACTCTGATAAATAGACCTTCTGAGCTGTTTGGACATGACATGCTAAATAGTGTCCGAGTGTACTTTGCTTTTCTAGTTTTATTATCCAACCGGGAGAAATATTCAGACTGTGCACTTGTTTTTTGTGACATAAAGCACATGCAGGAAAGCAGTGTGAGAATGTAAGGCTTTCTAGCTGAGTAAACGCGGCAATTGTTGACTGAACCAGAAGGAGCTCATACATCTACCTCTCATTTATCTCCCGTAACCGAATTAACGTGTGCACACTTGTGAACGCGTTGAACAGATGATACTTTGTGTGGGTGGGGAGGCTAACACGGGCTAATGAGCATAACAGCTCACTCATGTGCCATAAGCACCTCACCACTCACCTGTAATCCATCCAGTAGTCATTTTCAGAGGATATTCATTTTCTCCTCAGGACAGTTCCTGAACAGACACAGACAACCATGCATCTCATTTACAGTCAAATTCAGGCTCTCTCTCTCTCTCTCTCTCTCTCTCTCTCTCTCTCCCTCTCTCTCTCCCCCTTTCAGTGCTTGTTTCACAATCGTTTGACTTCGGCCTCGGAGATGACACGTTTTTTTTTTCAGTGCGTCACCATCCCACGTGTCTCAGTGCACCTCTTACAAGAGCGACACAAGTACAGCCACGCTCACCGCCACCTGCGTGTCACTGCTGCGCCGCGTTTATTTCTTAGTGCTCATGCGTCTCCTTCTGCCTCTGATGCTAAAGGTCCATAAATTCCGTGACTCTCTCCCCAGCGCTGCTCGTGCTGTTGGATTAATGGAGCTCATGGTGCGCATTGAGTGCCTGCAGAGGAAAATCTACTTTACTTCTCAAGCTTAAGCAGATAGCACGTAACAGTAAAAGTTGCCTTGTAGTTGATTGTAATTCTGCAAGGATTTAGGATTTGGAGTGAACGGCGTCTGATGCATTTTGCCACACTAGCAGCTCACAGCCAATGTATTTGAGGCATGGCTTTCCCGTCAGCCTGTTGGCTGTAAATAAACGTTTTGCCATTTTGCTCATAGAATATATGAGTTTGAAAGCCTTAGAATACTTTGGTTAGGTCTATATGGAGGTATACAATTTTGCTTTTTGATAACAATTTTGCTGCATATCGAACTGTTCCTTTCTCATGTTTCTTCCTGATTCCTCAAGGTTAGCAACTTATATTTAAACATAGGCCTCATAAAAGCTACTATTGAGCACTGGATCTAGCGGTACCGATTAAAAAAAGCGTAACAGATTGTCAGGGGAAATTAGCTGCTTCACAGTGAGACTGGTGCACATTTTTAAGTGAAAGCTCCCATTGATCTTTGGGCAATTAATTGAACGAGGCGTGTTGCTGGTGTGTAAAGAAGAAAAGGTATTCAGTGCAAGAACTCACTCCAAGGTGGGATCCTGTCAAGGCTGTTATACAGCCTTTTCTTCACTGACATTTGTCTCTGAACATATTGACCAAAGCATCTTAGCATTGTTTGTCTTTCAAAGAAATAAAATGGAGCCTCATTTATTGTGTGCTCCGTCACTCACTATTCATTCCTGCCTTGATCGATGTCTCACAGATGGGAAAACATTCATCACATACTTTTGTGTGTGCAGTGGCGTTTGTTTGCACATGTGTTTGTGTGAGAGAAGGTGACTTAGAATACGTATGTGGGTGTGTGTCGATGTGTGGGTGCACTTGATGTGATCCCACTCATGCACTTGCCTCCATGCGATATGACAGTAGGGGCATTTTGTTTTATCAGCTGGAAGCCATCTTCTTGTATTTACCCAAAAGCTGAATAGAAGCGGTGGACAGCCAAGTCAAATTCTATTGGAAATGCGGCAGCCAGCAATTATTGTCGGGGATTCTTCAGAAGAATGAAATCAACCAGCTTTTATTGTGAAAATCCAAACCTTGGGTACCCTTAGGTTGCCTAGGATACTGTAAAGAAATACATGAATTTGTTCAAAACTGTTGTTAATATATTGTGCAAAAATACATAGTCTACCATGGATTTATGGTCATAAAACATTATTGGCTTTTCATGACTCTAAATATGAAATTGACTCATTGGGCAGAGTACTACTATAAATCAAAAGTACATAAGTGTATAGTATGCTTCACCTCCATGCATGCATTTTAGAGGTATTCATGGTACACATTGTACTTTTTACACTACCACATGTATAAGCAGCTACAGCTTAAACACATATAATAAGATTAGATATGACATTTTTAGAGTTTAGTAGGTTTCAACCCCCTAGTTTAAGATTTCTATGAAATGTTGTTAATCCCATTGAAGAGGCACATTTTGACATTGCTGTTTGAATACTTTTACTTATGTACTGAGTACTTCTACTACACTCCTGACCACCATAGAGTATTTTTACACAGCATTTTTTTCATAAGAGGAATATTAAAGCCCACTGCTTGAATTAATTATGTTTCTCCAATAATAGGTGCACAATGCTTGGCTGGTCTTGCGCACCGGGGCAATGCAGTCAACCTCATTAAACTCTAAACAAACAGAAACACGTACCCTCTGGGCAACGACACACCGTGGTTTGAGAAAATATTGGCTTTCTGATGAAGTTCCTGAGTTAATTTGTTGTTAGAGCACAGAATTAACTTCATCCGGAGTAAATGATTTATTTCCTCATGGATCAGGCAAAGAAAACTGCTCAGGGTAATGAAAAGCAAGCACAAATCACAGATCTGTTTATCTGGCATCCCACAGGAGAACTCAGGTTTTACAGATGCTGAGCAACTGTGTCATATCCCGTGAATCATTAACTGTTAATTTTCTTTTGGTTGTCTGTTGGTCTAAATCATATTGAACTTTTCATATTTACCTTTCTAATAATTTCTGTTTTGAAGTTTTGGTTTTGAAAGAAAACACTGCAGTCTAGAAGTATCACACTTAAGCAGAGGTTGTGTTGTGGTCTCTGACATTCCTGTGGTTTATGTGACTAGATTAACCTTACTTCTCCTGCCTGTTACCATATTTGACCTCTGGTCCGCTGAATCGACCTAAAACAGGCTGAGAAGATTGTCTCAACGCTGCCTCCTTGTAAACCCACCTACCTGTTGTAAGATTGTGTTGTCTCCAACCCAGTTTTGTTCATTTGGCACATACCTTTATGAGTATTGTATGCTATAGGAAATATCTAGTCTGCTAATGTATTTACACATATAAAATACTCTGAAAACGTCTGGGCGTCTACGGCATCTGGCCACCATCTCCCCGACCGCCAGATGTAGCAAATGACCCAACAGTCATTTGCTACATCTAGTGGGAGTTACACAACATTGCAGACATGGAGAGCTAGTGAACACACATGGATCGCAGGTCTATTTGAGACTCTGATGGTAAAATATTACAAGCACATCCATTCGTGTGCTAAGCATACTAAATTGCGAGTTAGTTGTTGATCTAATCTTAAGCAAATGTGTCTCACTGAGAAGAGCAGCTGCTTTCATTTGCCTTTCAGATGTGCCTTGCATTCAGGCCAATTTCCGAGAGCCGTTCCTTGTAATGTGGATGAAGGTTCGTGCCCTTGTCCTCACGTCCTCGTCGAGCCACAGGCAGATTCTCCTGCAAAGAACATTTACCAAAACGAAACGCGAGCCAACATTTTTGTCTTGAATGACCTGGTTTTCCAACCTAATATTCTTAAACACCTTCAGCTCTGATGAGTTGTCGGAGTGGAGCTGATACAGATAAGGCCTAATTAGATTCTGTGGCATAGAGGGATAAGAGACATTATGATAATTGCATATTAAAATCATAGCTCTATAATAACAGCCGGAGCACTATAACAGTGCTGCAGCTTTGAAGATCTGTTTGCTGAAAATTAGCATCTACAGCCAAATCACCTCCTAAAAAACATGAATTCTGGCCCTATTCCTCATCCTAATGATATTTAATTATTCCTGTGTAAAGTAATATACTAAACGTATAGGTTATATTTCAAACTCAAGACATTGTGTGCAGTGCTGGGAACAGCTATGAGTCCTGGAAATATGACCCCTAAACTAACCACAAGACCTTCATTTGTGGATTCTCACTTGCTATTTTTCTGATTTCTCAGTTGTGTTGGCAGGATAACTTTGCCTCTCATTGTTGGCAATACAGTGGTGTGCATTTAGGTTGCACTGTGACAGTCTAAACATATTATTGAAGCATTACGGCTGGACTGCTAATTCCTGCATAGGCCTGTAGGTATCGCTTAAGTAATGGTAGTGAGCACATTGTTATTTTAATCTATTGATGTATTGTAAAAAAGCTTAGGTTGAAAATTAAAAACCAATCTTCTTTATGTGAGAAGCAGAGCAACAGGAAAGCTGATTACAGCTATGCAACTGCGTTAGTGATGCCAGTTACCAAAAGCAGTCATTTCTCTGTTTTACGTAGGCTTTGCTTTTTAAAGCAGCTTAAGAGCAAAACCTGATGAGCCCCCGGCCTTTTCTTTCAAGCCATTTTATGTGGGATTTTAGATTTTCTGGCTCTGGTGACTCAAAAAAGACAATAATTACATCATCAGTCATCATCAGAATATCTGCATTTTCTACAAACTAAAATTCTTCTTCGCCATCGCAAAACTGTGATAACAATTTATTTAAATGATTCTACACACAGGCTTACACACAGATGCCTTAAGGGGGACAACTTTAAATCATTTGAAGTATAACTCAGACAGGTCGGCCATTTAGAGACGCCATCTGCCCGTCATGTGCAGATGGCACAAAATAATAATGTACAATGAGTCAATTTAGAAAAGAGTTAAACAGAATAATGCCGTCCTTCAAAGGGGACAGCTCCATGGAGGGCCAGAGGTGCATCTTCACAGGGCATCAATGAATGTCCGGTCAACCCTACAGGGGCCTGTCAGTAGTTGCCTCTTTATTGAATAGGGCTTATTAGCTTGTGTGTTGCAACTCACGTGGATGATCTTCTCGTAGTCTGTTTCCATATAGTCCAGCCTGTGTTGGAGGTCAGCCATGGCAGCGTCCTTCTCCCCATGCGTCCCGTTCACGCTCTGTTTTTTCTCTACACAGCACTACGCGGACAACTGCATAAAGATATGCCATCACTTTTCATTTGAGAACTAAGCAGAACTCTATGTTTATTCATTCAGGCATGGACACTAAAATGAAATGTTTTCCTATTCCGTCAGCTCACTGACCTCTTTCTCCATCATCTTCACCTTGTTGGTAAGTTTTGTTTGCATGTTTTTTTTATTGCCAACTGAGGTCTGGAACGATTTTTGGCCTCAAAGACAGAGTCAGACTTAGCTGCTGAATTGCTAATTCACTGTTTCGGGCTAATGCAGCAATCAGCTTATGCACCCTGTTAATTAGAAGATTGTTCCTCAAGACTTCCACTAACCTTGGCAAACACGCCCCTTGTTCTCCGTCCCAAAGGGATCCGTGCTTTATGACAGTTTATTAAAAGAAAGGCTAATTGTTGATACGTGCCCCGTTGGTACAGTACCAGAGCGGACGTCCCTGTGGTCTTGACTCTCTTGTAGCAGCTTTTTCTCCGTGTGTCTCATGAGTCTCTTTAGGTCAATTCTATCAGACTGGACCGTTTGTTATGTAGTAATCACTCAAACACCTCCATGTATTATTGTACACACCAGTTGTAGATTTTTTTTACAAATTCTTAAAAACACTCCAATTGCAGTGTTGCTGTCAGTATTTTCCTATGGTCAACTCGAGCTGTATTGGTGAAAATTGCTCTTGTAATTGTGTTTTAGCGTTGAGTTCTACAGGTGGCGATGAAGTTGCTTCACTGGAACTGGAGTTTTCAGAAAGCTTACTGAACTAAAGTATATCCGTGTTTCCAGCAAGATGTAGTCAAGTGAAAGCGCTGACGCAGAAACACGTCTGCTTTGTCTGAACAACTTGGATTACTATCACAGAATTACTGTTGCAGCTGTGCTGTTTTTAATTATTTTATCATAGCGAGAGCTATAATAGTGCATCTATTTTCTTACTGATCATACAATATGTTTCGTATGAAAAAGCCCAATATTTACTTCTGTTGTGAGCACAAAAGGGGAAAACAAAACATTTGACTAAATACCTCAAAATCAAGCTACAGTCCTCCAGTAAGTGCAGTTAGTTACTGCACTTAGCCACCGCTAGTGACAGTGTAAAACTGCATCGAAAAAGGAAGTAAAAAGTCATAAGATGACTTTAGAAAAAAGGGTACTTGCATCTCATGTTGAAAGATTGCCAGTGTACATGGGGTTTGTTGCAGTGAAGTTGTTAGCAATTGGACATAATTAATCAATAGATAGGAAATCATCACCTATGACTGAGTAATTGTGTAATGCAGGGGTGCCAAACATACGGCTCGCGGGGTCCAGTGGGGCCCACCGGATGACGTAAAAATGACGGAAAGACATAAATTCCATTTCTATAAAAGTCACAGCTATTCCATAAAAGCTTGAAAATGACATTGAGCGTTATGACATCAAAACTAAATGAGGATTTCGTTAATGGAGAAAATAGAGAGTATGGCCCGGAAGTCTTAAAACACTAATAGGGTTGTTGTTGTTATTTTTATACGAGACAGCCAGAATTAGCCAGAATTTTGCCAGATACGTGTGTAGTTTGACCCTAACAAAACCGACATAAGTGACTCAACATAACACTGCTGCTCACCAATCCAGAACATTGTGCCTTTACTTTCATTCCAAGCCATTTTCAACTGCAACCAGGAAAAAATGTGTACACTTTCATTAGAAAGTTCTTTACCGGATCTTCACCTCTCTCCGTTTTTTTCTTTTCTTTGCAAGGCATGTTAGCTTTCTGCAAGGCTGTGTGTTTAGACCATCCAGAACCCTCACCAACGAACTACGGGGATGATTCTTTGTTGCTGGGCCTTGGTTGCTGAGTGAGTTGCCATGGCCCTCGCCGTCCAGCTTGATTGATGGTTGATCAACTTTAATAAAAGCCAATACTTGACTCGGGGCACTGTTGGGTTTTGAGCTCAAGTACACGAGCTGTGCAACTGGACCCTTACATTTCGTCAGACATGTCAAAGACCAAGGCCCACACTAGCGGAATCCAGGGCTGTATTCAGCATTCCTTTAACACTTTATGAATGCTGTGCAGGCAGAGGCGCGCACCAGACTACATTCATGCCTCGTGAACGCGCACGGGGGAAGGCGTGGAGTATAGGTGAAGGGGGGGCGCGCGCGCGACACGGGCGACACGAACGGAAAGGGACGTACAGGAAAGGGCCGCGCATGCACGTCACTGGAGTAAACAGAAAAAGACTGGGACGTATTTAATTGCCACAGTTATTTATTCAACCCCGGTTCTCGTGTGTGTGTCAGCGAAGCGCTTGCGGTTTAAAGCGCAACTTCCTCTCCTCCCCGTCAACGGCTCTCTGTCGTCAGCGCGCACAGGGCTGACGCTGTCACACCGCCGCTGAACTTCCCGTCAAGACGCGGCGCGACACCTCTGGCGCGGTCAAAAAGAGGAACAACATCGGGTGCTGTCGAGAGGAGAGGACACACTCACGTCCACACGGACCCCGGGTAAAGAAACGGTGGTGGTGCTCGGCTAATTAGCCTGCGCGGGTCCCCGCAGAGAGAGAGGGAGAGGGAGAGAGACACAGAGACAGAGCAGCGCGGCTAGCTGCAGCACCGAGCCGCTCGCACAGAGTGTGAGTGACTGAGGTGCTTGTTTTTAGCCCCAATCGGGACATTTGTCTGACAAACCGATGCTAGGTTTACTGATGGGAGCATTTTTCCGATAGCCACCCCTTCCCCCACCCCGGTTGGACCCCAGCACGGATTCACCAATCGGGCGCTGTCCTCGTCGGGGGTGGGGGGGGGGGGGGGGTTCCGCCGGATCCCCATCGCCCGGTCCAGCCTAACTCCAGGCGCCGGTTCGGTCCCCCTGACCCCTGCCGCGGCTTGCGGTCGCTCTGGCCGACCCTAGCCGAGACCGAACATGGCAGGGAACCTGAAGAAAAGCGGGGGGCTCATCGGGAGGATGATGAAGGATGCCTTCCAGCCGCACCACCACCACCTCCACTCCCATCACCAGCCCGGGGTAGTGGACAAAAAGACCGTGGAGAAATGCTGGAAACTAATGGACAAGGTTCGTAACGTTAAGTTTGCCTCGCACGTTAATTAGCGGTTGACGTTCGCTCGCGCGTTTGTTGCCACGGGGATGCTAGCTGACCGCGGCTAACCAGTGGCAAGCTAGCTAGTGTTAGGCGTCGCTATCGTTAAAGAGGCTATCGTCTCCTGGTGAGTGTGAGTCGGGGGGGGGGACGTGGTTAGCTACCCGTTAGCTAATTTGGCAACAACCTAATATAACTGTATTGTTTGGGACCGTTGCCGTGCCAGGCTCCGTTGTACCACAGTAGAAGACATTCACATTAACGCTGACCCAGGGACACAGCGAGGGGTCTGTTTGCTCGTGCAGTGCCACTCTCTGGTGTTGTTAATTAGTTAACGTTAGTTGTTTAGTAAACGCGGGTATTGACACAGAAAGAAAGCGTGGGCTCAAAGACTTTTGCCTGTATGTGAATCATTATAAGCAAACCGATTCCCCTGCTATCACAGGGGCTGCTAGCACAGCAACAGTTCTCTTGTACGAGTGTTTGCTGAAAAAGCGGCCAGTCGAATGTCTGTCAGCAGCTGGGAACTAGCGAAGCGTATAAGACGGAAAGAAAGATGTCCATTTAACTACACCAATTGTTCTCTTTCACAGGGGACACCCATTTCACAGCTTCTCTTCTCAGGAAGAAAAAAAGAAGCGTGTAGCAGATTGACCCCCAGTTTCCTGTGAGATTCACACAGCACTATTTGAGTGCATAGGAAGACAAGACACTCTTTTGTGTCTCCTCTTCCTCTTTGAGGCCTTAGCTTGGAGCTCTGATGTTAAGACACAAAATCCTTTTTGCGAAGCTATTATTAACAAACCGCATTCCAGTTTATTTTCCTCCTCTGTGGTAGATGGTCCTGCCGGACAGTTCTACACAGTTGAGGCTCTAACTTAATACTTAAAAACGTATAAACCGAAGTGATGTTGTAACTCCACTGAGTCTTATTTTGTTCCTCAGTCGATGTTCAACAGGTTAATAGACAGGTTTTCTTTGTGTATGTTTTGTCAAAGATTCAGAGAAAAGGACTGGACGTTCTACTTAAACTACCCTCCACAGCCGGGTTAATTTAATCATTTATCATACTTATGACTTCTGATTCAGCAGCTCCAACAATGTGGGGGGAAAAAAACTGCAGCTTACCTTTTTTTGAAAAGACTTTATGAGCCGATGTATTTTTATTCCACAAGATTTAAGAAGTTTATAATAGCAGCAGAGATATGGTTTGGCTTGGTCTAAAGGAAAACCACAGCCCAGAATATACTTTAGCACAACTCTCCAGAATGACGATGCACTTGCTCTTAGAAACCCCCCACTGCCCAGGACTTTGTTAAATTCTATCAAAAGCACAAGAATCATTTTCTTTCTGGAGTTGCCCTCAGACATTAACCCAGTTCTTAAAGTCTGAAGCATAACAAACTGTACAAACCCGTAATGCTTCGTGTCTCCTCTGCCTCCCAAATTCCTTTAAGCTGGTTAATCTTTCTATGACTTAAACTTGAAATAAATACTGTAGTAATATTTATTATTCAGTTGAGGATCCAGCCAGAATGCACAGATATAAATGGGGAAGACTGATGAAGATGAGTGGATTCCAGTTCAGCTTGTAGGCAGTCAACATTTTACTTCAAACCAGTACCCTTGAATGTCAATGGGCGCACAGTTGTTGTGGCCTTGTACGAGTGCATGTACGCATGTCTGTTTGGCTGAGTTATGGGTACAAGTCTTTGCATGGTCGATGATGATGTTAGTGCTGTTGCCTTGGCAACAGTCTTATCTGGTCCGAGACATTACAGACTAGACCTCATTCTTTTCGAGGCCTAGACAAGATTTAAAGGAATGAGGGCGCAGTGTTTGCAAAGATACTGAAAATAGCTTTCAATTCAGTTTCCCACAGAATCCAAAAATGTATAGGAATCTAGTCAGTTGAAGAAAATCATCAGTCGAGTGCAAAATGTAATATATGAATAATTCACATGACAAATTCTGATAAGAGCCTTGTGATTGATGCATTTCCTAGTGCTGAAAAAGCATTCTAACTTTCAGTGTCCAACTTAGCAATGCCTCAATCTGCCTGATGATCATCAATGTCCGTTGGATTTGTAATGTCGTCCGTACATCTGGATGAGCTGAAAAGGAATGACAAGGCCCTTTCACCGTTTTGATAACATGGGAAATTTGGGCTGACGATTCAACACTTTTTGAGTCGGAATTTAACAAACTTTGACAAAGATGATAAATTAACAATTTTTCAGTAATGGAAAGGGATATTCCAGCCGACATGAGGCTATTCCTGCAGTACTCATTTCTTCGTCTTCCTTAGTCTGCTTTCTCAGTACGCAATAATCTGGCCTGCTTCTACAAAAGAAGGAGCCGTGTCCCGTTGACATGCAATTGTTTCGGTCACCAATAACAGACATGAGACCGTGGCTCTTTCAATAGAATGGCTGTTTGATCATGCTAATAAGTTGGACATAAATGCACTGACAATTCTGATATTAACGATACAGAGCTTAATGTCAGAGCGGGTGAGGGAGGGGGGCTAGGCGGTCCGCCAGTGTCTCTTGTAATGGCCAACGAAGCAAGTCAGACAAAGTTTAGCCGTACAGTGAGATAAATAAGGAAAGGTTGAACATTACTGAGGATGTAACAAGTAGTCCGGCATATAAGCACGTTGACTAACCATCAAACAGGAAGTTCTGAATTTCCAACGTTCCATTAAGCGGTCTGTTATTTCTCTGTCCACTCATTATAGGATTGGCCTTCTTTTGGTTCAATGATTGTTAGTTGAAAAAGTTTTAACCTTTTGTCCCCAAATAATAACTTCTCTAAAATCTAAGGAAATGGAAAATGAAAAAGTCTTTATGATAAAGAGAAATACCTCACGATGCCATAAGTGACTAAACCCATGCTTTGTTCCAGCATATAATGAGCAAAGTGCCATGGTTGACAGCAACAGGGCTTTTAAGGGCCTTCCTCGCAGTATTTGACTTTTTGGCATCTTCATTCAGCATACACTGTGCTTTGGCTCCAGAATGATATTCTGCCCTTAAGATAAGTGCACTAATATACAAAAAAGAGTGTCTTCCTGAGAATGAAACTGCTTAGTTGCATTAAGACCTCCTCTCCCACCCTTTTTCTAACACTTACTCTTACTTTCCTCTCATCTACCTTACTTCCTGCCCCCACTCCTTGTCTCTAACTTTTTCCTGTCTCCCCCCTGTCACATCCTCCCCCTTTGCAGGTGGTGCGCCTCTGCCAAAACCCCAAATTGGCTCTAAAGAACAGCCCCCCTTACATCCTGGACTTGCTGCCAGACACCTACCAGCACCTGCGCACCATCTTGTCTCGCTACGAGGGCAAAATGGAGATGCTGGGGGACAACGAGTACTTCCGGGTCTTCATGGAGAACCTCACCAAGAAGACCAAGCAGACCATCAGCTTGTTCAAGGAGGGCAAGGAACGCATGTACGAGGAGAACTCCCAACCCAGGTAAAGTATTGATGTTAATTCTCTGCTCTCTTCACAAACCGCGTTGCTGAGTGCATCTGAAATGGGGAACTTTGAGGGGTGAAGGTCTTCGCGATAGCTCTTGGTGACATCACTCCTCAAATTCATTTATTCATTCATTCGGTTTGAATATTTTCGACCGCTCGAGCATAGAGTGAACGATTGCACCCACACCCAGCTCGCACTGTAGCTCAAGATGTACCAAAACAAGAGGAGAGGTGTTGTGGTTTTATCATGTGAGCATCTGTGGTCAGAGTGATGCTTAATCTACAGCTGCCTGCCTGTCACTTCGTTTTGGGGCCTTGCCATCTCAACCACTTTCATGAACATTTTCTCTTGATGAAGTTTTCTTACAGAAATGCTCCTTTTATGAAATCGCACAGCGGCAACGTCTTTGTCTTTCTCCCACTTTGCAATACAACAAATCTGTCTCCTTCCTCCCGAAAGCAGACACGCAAGAGCACCAGATATACTGCATTAATGTGTCGAGGAACTTGTGGATGTGTAATCAATGAGACATGCATCTTGTTTCCCTTGTTTGGGGAAAAAAAGCATTGTTTTGAAGATAAAATATGAAAATGAAGTGTGTTTTAAGCACAAAGAAGTTGTTGTGTTACTCTGGGTATCTGCTGCTAAGAGCTGTCCTTACCTGCTCGCTCGTATTGCTGCAGATGCCGTTTGGTTCACTGCATGCTTTGGATAAATGCTGTCGGGCATGATATCAGCCAGCATTATGTACAATATGTGATGAATTAGTAAGATAGTCCTCATTAAGTCATCTGTGACATTCATGCATATCGCAGGACAATATCAAACATTATCCCCGTAAGGTTTCTCTGGGCCGGCGACTTCCCGCAGGCAGGAAAGGGAAAGCGAGCGGAGAGCTGTAGCTGACAATATTTGAACATTTATCAAAAACAGTTCATTTATATCCTAGACGGCATATCGTTTGAATAATTAATTTAGTGTTTTATTGCTAGATTACTCCCTGCATACGAGAAAATAGACCAGATGTCGTCTGCGTCGCGTTGAGTGTGACAAAAGAGGCTGTGCAGAGGCTTAGTTAGTTTAAAGTTATACATCCTCTTCTTGTTTCTGAGTTCCTCAGTGAGATAGTTTGGTTGGCTGCTGTGACGGGGAAGCCGTTTTAACCATGACCTGGTGGTTGAGTTTTTTTTTTCCTCCATTGCACAAAGAGGCTGCCTTGAAAGAAATTCCTGGTTTAAGCAAAGGAAACACACTCACACACAGTAGCTATGCGTTACGCACAAAGACTGCTATTGTCTGTGTGCAGAGGTCAGCGGCAGCGACACTAACCAAAAGGGAAGTTTGTTATGTTTTTTTATTTTGCATCTGTTGAAAAAGAGTAATCAAAACGGATATGAAAGCGTCTCATTCTGATGTAGCAAATATTTATTTCACATGCATCAGCAGAATTAATACAAATTTTCCCAATTTCTAAATTTCTTGTACTCTGCTTTAACAGAACCGGACTCGGGTTCAAAACCCGTTTTGCTTCTGTTCTGTGAACCAACAGATTTTGTCAAGTCCGAGTGAGGGACACAAGAGTTTCATCAGGGCTCCGATGTCTGTGTGGGTGGATGTGGTGTGATAGCGTGCGGACGTTTCGATTATGGCTTCTCTAGAGGTCTAGAGCCTCTTGTCTTGTTGTTTTTTTTTGTTTTTAGAGTTAAGTAAATGCCTCGTTTCACTGTACACGTGAGTGAGGATGAAAGAGAGTCTGCTGTCAGAGAGACTTAAGTATTTACTGTGACGGCCCGTCTTCAGTCAAAATCAATACATCCATGTCATCACTTCCTCCTCGTTTGCTTCACTTCCGCTTTGTGTTTCACAATGCACAGTCAAGACATATTTGGGTCTCAGACATGAGTGGGTTTTATCCGTATGTATTGGTAGTCGATGCCTTGACGGGACAGCGTGTAACATTTATGGTTTGTTGTTTATTTGCAGATAGTAAATTGTATATTTAAAAGAATGTCCAGTCCAGAAAAGAATCTTACTCCCCCAAGAGCCTTTTGCATTTTACATCAACTTAAAGTTCTAAGACGCGGTATTAAACAGACCCCGGTGGTAAATAGTTACAGATTGTAGTATTGATAAGCCCAGGTGCTTTTTATTAGTACTTTTTAATCTTTTGAATTGTCTCGCTGTAGCCGAAATTATCTCTGCTCTCGTTGTCAGTCTGAGCTTCACGTACTACACACACACACTTAGACACACAAAGTCCAAGCTGGTAGGCTAATGTGGTAAAGTGAACCAGGTGAACTGAAGAATACTTGAGTTGATAGTATTTGAGAGTAAAAAGACAATACTTTATCACCTCTTTGTTTACACTTAGATTAAGCCCCCAGGAGGACAGAAGAAAAGAGGAACACTGATACTGAACTGACGCTCCACTCAAATGTGGTTGTTTTTTGTTACTTTTTCCATTTGTTTCCAGTGAGATACAAAGACCTTTGTAGAGGGACCTTTGCCTTCGTAACAATCACTCTTGATTCTCTGAATCACATGTAGATATACCTTAATTATAAATAACTTGTGCTTCTGTTCTGTATTTGTTAGTCAAATGGTATACATCTTTTTATGTACTTTTATTACTTTGTCATGTAGAATATCAAAGTATCGCTAAGAGTACTAAAATCCTAAAGAATCTTGTGAATAGTGGGGCTGAGCTGAGTTTTAATTAATTACTGCCACTAAAAGTTACAATATAAGTTGAATAGGCCTACCTGTTAATTCTAATATTAGCTTTTTCCGATTAAACACCGCATCAGAAGGGCACTAGTGTTTAGCTGACTTCGTTCACATTTATTCATGTGTGTTTACAAATATATAGCTATAATATATATCTCTATGTGAATGTGCGTCTGTCTGCGTTGCACAGGACTGGCTCACATAGAACGGGCCTGATGCAGTCAGACCCTGTGCTTTGAGTCCCGTGGTGCACAACGTCTTTAAGCTTTTCACCAAGTCCACGATTCAAATATACGTTTGTCATCATATGACAAAGACAAACTTTAGATCTTAATTTTTTAAAGCCTGCAACGAGGCCCTCCCTCACTCTCTTTTGTTGTAGAAAAAAAATACACCAAAAGGCGTAATTCATTTTAATTTTATTTTCGGAAGAAACATTTCACTTCAAGACATTTATGAATTAACAATTTTGCTTCCCTACTGCACAAGCCACCGAGTAGGGCAGGTGTGAAAAGCGTGTTAGTCTAGTGCTGCCAGCTACTTCTGCACCACTGGACTTCTGCTTTTTTAGCAATGGCTTTGAATAATTGTTTGAGTTGAGTAATTCACGTGTTCTGCAATTTTTACCACAGTTTTAACACAGCTCCTTGTCTACAGTCGATGTACTTGTATACTTTGGCAACTTATATTTTTTTTTTAGCAGACTAATTCCCTGGACGGGTCGATCAGTGTTCTAACCCTCCTCCGTTGGTTGAACCGCAGGCTGCTTTGACCTTTCCGTGAGGCTATCTGTCTTCCTGGGCCGAGCTGCAATGCGTCCAGTCGATCACGGGAAGTGGCGGCTTCGTAGGCTGCAGAAAGTGACCAGTGGGCCGATAAAACCAGGCATTTAGATGCATCACTTTTGACTGGAAATTGTGCGGAATATTTTAAAGGCTAAGACGTATGAATAATTACCAGTTAAATCCACACTTCTTTTAGCTCTGAACTGCCACCTCCGGTTTCTTTACTAAGAAAGGCAAATACGTTCCTGCCACATTTTAGCAATATAATGACAGCAGTCGGTTGGAACACCGACCTCAATCGTCTACTCATCCTGCCTCCCATGCAAGTGGACTACGGCTTAGGCTGCAGTGGGCCACGAAGAGCCTTTCACTCAACAATATATTAGATCCATTTGTCTTTCCTCATCACGGCAACATTCAGTGGCTTTATAAATCCCTTAGTAAGTCACTGCTGTAAATATGCATACATGCAACAGTTAAGGGATTGTGTGCACAGTAGAAAATAAAAGATAAAGGCTGCCAAAGATCTCATGAAACGTGCACTGCACACCTCGCACGAGTCCTTCCTTTCAGCCTGTTGGAACAGGTGCTTGCCATGTTGTGTCTAATGATTCCAAACGCTTATGACTGTTTCCTGTTGGTACCTGGTTGTCTGTACATTTGTGTTTTGGATATAATTCCAAATGTTATTTCGTTGAACTAGTGGGGGACATGGGTTGCTAATGCTGTCAATCATAGATGGAATCATACATGGAAATTCTTCACGCGGCTGTTTATGGGAAAGTGCTCCGGTTTCATTAATGGTTTATGTAGTCAAGATTTTGTGAAAAGAGAAAAACACAACATTGCACGGTGCAGTACCTCTGGTATGTCATTTTCCGTTGTTCCTATTTTTGGTTCATCAAGAGAGCGCTGTCTTCAAATACGACCTATTTTGTGCTCACGAACGTCCATGCGTAACTAAGGTCTACCTCTACGAGCACGGCACTACACTTTCACTATATAAACCCACTTTCTGACTGCAGCTATGATGCTGCATTAAGGGTCTACGTTCCAACAGTTGCATTGTTCAAGTTGGTCCGTTGCATATATTTTCATGTTTTTGTGGATTTTGTCCTGAACCGTCATATTTCCCCACTAACTGGATCCTTCATATCAAACTGTCTTAATAAAAATATGTTGTTTATTTGTGCTCTTTGCCAGTAATGCAATTTGGGAATCACGGTTTGTAACTCCTACTCATCATTCCAAACTGAGCTTTACGCTCTTTCTCAAGTTGATTTACGGTAGTGTCTAGCTGAGTTGACTTTTTTTGCCTGGCAGCCAAAAGGCCTCCGGTGTTGGCAAAGGAAAACCCCTTTTTTCCTCAGAGGTTGCGGAGGTTTCAGCTTCAATTAAATGTGCTTAGCTTGGGGCGTTTAAGTGTAGATATTCTCTCTCACACACACACACTCACAAATAGCAGAGCCTCATGGTTATTTATGTCACAATGGTATCAGTGAGCAGCCAGCTCATGTTGTCCCCACAGTATTAGATTATGGTGATTAGCATGATGCAACCCACTAGCTTCTCTGTCCCTCAGCGTACTTGCTGTTTATGCAGAGTGAGATGAGTGAGCACAGATATGTACTAAGAAATGACTAGTTGACCTGTGTTAAGAAAGGTCTGTTTTCTGGTACACAATCCTTATTTTTTTTCTTTCACAATAAGCTGAGCTTATCAAATTGACGAGGGTCTTTGAAAGATCTCGGCACTGTCTTAAAGGCACGGTTGGTGATAATCTTCAAAAACGTTTGTCATATTTGTTGAAATTCTCATTACACCCTGACTGCAATCAATAATTCAAATACATAAGAAAATAACCTCGTAGCTGACGCAGGACCACCCAATAATTGTATTCGACCCAAATGTAATTATTAGACATGCCTGTCCTCCCCCACATTTTCACATGTGTTCACTTGTTGCTCGTCACTGGAGCCTTCAACAAGAGGCCAGCTGGACAGCTGTGTGTGTGCGTGTGTGCTGTCAAGGCTGCGTCTCGATGAAGATGTATGGCACTACGATATGGATATGATGATCCTGAGAGTTCAATTTATGATGACTGGAGCAAAACGTTAAAGACATAATTAATTCAGTGCGTTTTCTTGTAGAGCAATTGCCTTTATTTTTACTTTGTGTTTCTTTTATGTAACATTGTTGAATTCACACTTCGATAAGCGTAGCCCCATTTTAATGTAACCTATGATTGCATTTTACTCTCTAAGTGTAGTTGTCTTGGTTGGGAATCTTGATTTAGCTTAGTTAGCTCTATATATTGTTGAAAATCCCTCTTGGTAGCTTTGGTACGACGCTCAGTTGATGTTTGATCTACATTTCCCTTTTTGCCTGGAGCGCAAAACATAATACAGCTGCATGATGATATGACAGCAACTTGTGACTCTGCCAATCCAGACAGACTCTCATTCTGTAAGCTTGACCCTTGCTTGCTGGGCTGCGGCGCTTTAGCGCAGTGCGGGGCTGGCTGCGCTACTTTATCAGAGCCGGCAGGAAACAGGAAGGGAGCAGCCAGCTGCCAGGTCGAAGGTCAATCTATAGCATGAGGTGGAGGGGGAGGGGGGGGATTCTGAAACAAACTGTTTGGCCTGTTGACGTGGTTGGGATTTAGAAATGAGTGAGAGACTGAAAAAAGAGAAAAAAAACGCCACGACTTCTGACGGTCCGAATACACGAGGAGGCCAGCTCCCCGTTCTGTGTGGCTGTAGCCCGCTGACTCGGCTCTGTCCCTGTCCGTCCCACACCGGCGTAAAGAACAGACGTAACAGTTGTAGGTGCGCTGGCTGCTGCCCAGTACACACATACAGAGTACAGAGCGAGTATTGTAGGATGGAGAGGGACACCGACTAGGGGAGACACAAGAGATGCTAAAACAGATATGGGCTTGTCCTGCTACATGGGAGATTAGATGCAGACCTGTATCTCACTTGGAATGTCAGATTAATATTCAGCCCGCCTTCTGTAAAGCTCTTTCCATCGAGCAGACAAAATGAAACGCAACAAAGCCCTTCATTCACTGCTCAAATCTTGTGCCAGAGACAGCTGTGCCACCCTGTAGCCATAATGCCAGTCAAACCAGGGTTCACTTTCAAATGCATTCTTTCTTACAACGGCAAACATCCATATATGGCATGTAAGACTTTGTCCCCAAATAAAGTGACTCCCCCTAGTGAGAATCTTCAAACATATCATTGGTGTGTGTGGTTGATTTGTAAATATCATTTTAATGTATCAAGTTCAACGAGAGGAGTGAATGGTTGATTCAAAAGACGCCGAACCCCCCTAAATGTTGAAATGAGATTCCATGTAGACCCTCGATGGAGAGGATACCCGTCCTCATCTGAGCAGGAGGCTTCATTGTAACCGAGAGAAAAGCGCAGGGTAGAGGGAGGTCGACAGGAGGATGAATGAGACTGCAGCTTTAAGGCTCAATAGGTCACAGGGGTTAGGAGGAAGAAGAAACAGAGGAAGACCTCCTGCTGAGATGATAGCTGCTGGAAAGAAGGAAAAAAACACACACACAGACGTGCAATGTCACAATCTGTGGTGTCACTGGAAAGGGAAGTATGACGTCAACAGCTCCCGTTCCTCCGGGAACGAGCCAGGAGGAGTTAAAAGTCTTATTTTCCACCCGGTGTCACTGATTAGGGTTGCCCTGCCTTCAAAGACATTTGCTGTGGAGTGTTTGAAACCATAAATCTACAGCTGCAAGAACCTTCCCTGTTTCATCATTTACTGCTGAGAGGTCGTAAACGCAATTTGCTGTTTTTTTGGGGGGGTTTTCCGGTTTGCAAGCATCGCATTTTCTCATCAAATCTGCTGCTCTGACGGGTAAATTAGGTACATTTTGCCAGGTTATCAACCGACCGTAATCTTATTTATCCATCTTGTCTCCGTCGTCCTTCCTCATTGACTTTTTTGCTCCACTCATTGGGAGCACAGCGCGGCGGAGGGCAGCTGCAGCGTAGCCGCGCTTTCATCGCTGTCTCTCTCGTGCATGTCAATTCACCCTGCCCAACAGCCAAGCACAGTCCCTCTCTGTGCTGCCTCATAAATCATGTCATCCGCACCCACAACACTTCTAATGCTGTAAAGAGGGAAGGGGGGGGGGGGCATTGGGCAGCTGTGTGGTCCTTTCCCTGGTCTCCTTTTTTCGTGCCCTGCCCTCTCGCCGATGTCTTTCTGAGTAATGCGCTTCTCATCTTCCTTTATTATGTCATCCCCCCCCCTCCTGGCCTTCGGTCCTTTACTGTCCTCTGTGCTTGTCGACCAGTCCTTTGCAGCTGTACACTAGCATGTGCTGGCTGCTCTCCCTCAGTCCATCTGTGATGGCATTGCACGCCTGTAGACCCCGCTGTGTTCCTGGACGTCGGACTATTTTGGAAATGCGTAAGCAGCTACGGATAATTCACCATGCAGAGACCTGGCCTTGAGTTAATTTTTTATTTTTTTTATTGCATATTTTAGAAACTATATTTGAATAAAGTTGTTTAAGCATTCACATGTTCTCTCGTGTCTGGCACGAAACCCAACCACTACCACCTAAAAGATCTCATCTTTCACACGCATCATTTTAACCAGCAACCGTAGATATTTACATGCAATTTTCTAAGGTGTTATATTTCCACCATATATCAGGAAACCGATTTGGTGTATGAATGTATTTTGTTGTCGGTGGTCAATGGTTAACTATCATCAAGCCTGAAAGTGTTGATGACTTTCAGTAGAGGGATATTATTAGAAATCAGTATGCGCAAACAGACATAAGGATTCCACTTCTTGACTCGCTGTTGTGTTCCTGCTGTGGAATATAATTTCCTTTTTTATCATTGCGCTGGTGTTTGTTTCCTGTCATCAGGAAAGCAGAGCAGGTTACTATTTATAGTTGGCTGAGGAAATCATGTAATTTTGCTAATGCCTCCATCTCTAATTCCAAAATAAGTAATTATCACTTAATTCCTTGTCAGTTTTGTGGATGGAGTTTTCGAGGATTCCCAATGAGTTTTTGTGGAGTCGGTAGTCAAAGACCAGTTTACCCTCACTAGACGTTGGTTTACCAAGTCTGTCCGACAGCCTCCCGCACCACCAGGTGGTGATCAATAGGCCGCTCTACCCCCCCCTCTTTACCCGAGCGTCCAAGACATACGGTCGCAGATCTAATCAAACGACCACAAAGTCGACCACTGAGCTCTGCCCAGGGCCTTCTGGTGCCGTGTACACCCATGCACCGCCCTTTGCACGAACACAATTCTTTGTGGTCCATCCACGATTAGCACAGCTGTCCAACAACAAAGCACCACTTTGGTTCACATTGTGCAGCCCGGACCCGGTGATTCATTAGAGCCCATTGTTTTATCCTAATGCCAATCTTGGTAGTTAATGAGAAAACTACATTGTGAACATCATCATCATTCATACAACCCATCAGTAATTCCGCATATGCTGTACCATCTGATCAAAACATGTCAGGCTAATAAAATACCAAGATTGCTCTGCATTTCTCTCTCAAAGCTGTTATACTGGCTGATGACAACGTGAACCTCAATGTAATGATAGCAAGGTGTAATCTCACATCCTACTTTTGATTTCCACAGGCGGAACCTCACCAAGCTGTCGTTGATCTTCAGCCACATGCTGGCTGAGCTGAAGGCCATCTTCCCCAACGGTCTGTTTCAGGGCGACAACTTCCGCATCACCAAGGCAGACGCTGCAGAGTTCTGGAGACGCGCCTTCGGGGATAAGTAAGCCCCATTCTATATCAGTTACACACTTGTGTGTGTATATATATATTATATTATATTATATTGCCATGGTGTTTCCAAACTGGCTTTCTGGAACCCCTATGAATTGACCCTTACAGGTTGTTCCGAAGAAAAGAAGCCTAGCGAGTACACATAACTGATCTGAGAGCAAAAGTTCCCCTCTCCTTGCTCGTCTCATAGCCTCACTTTTCTCTCTAACAGAGTTCTGGTAACTGACTAAAAAGCTCTGTTAAGATGTGTTTTTTTATGGGGGCATCCTTGACATTTTAAACTGGGGTACCCATGGTTTCTACAACCGGACACATTTTAGTTCATTTCCAGCTTTAACTGATTTCTTTTTTTTTATTTTTCTGTGAGTGCTGTTTTACAAAAATAACTCAGCCGCATGGAACTGCAAGAACATTTGAATATCTGGGTTCTCCCAATCCTACATAATGGTACGGCTCATATATCTTACATTTCTCTACAAATACAAGTCCATTTACCATTAGTTTGGATATCTGCTGTCTTTTTAAAGATTGCATCAGGTTAGCATTCATGGCCAATGGCCGTCAAAGCTCTATTTGGACATAGTAAAATATCACTTACACAAAATAGCTTTTCCTTTTTTGTCAATGCCCCTTCACTGCACGTAGAGTATGCTGCGGGGCAAATGAAGGTAGTCTACGTTTAACATTTAGTACATTTTTATTAATGATGTTTTGACATTCAATTTCACGTTTTTCAAGGGGATGTTGTCATGCATTTTGTTTTGTGCGTCACAGGACGATTGTGCCTTGGAAGGTGTTCCGTCAGTCTCTCCATGAGTTTCATCCCATCAGCTCAGGACTAGAGGCCATGGCCCTCAAGTCCACCATAGACCTCACCTGCAACGATTACATCTCTGTCTTTGAGTTTGACATCTTCACGAGGCTATTCCAGGTAGTGACACTCACTCACACACACTCTCTGCATTGCTTTACCGGTGTTATTGTTTGCATTGGGAGATAAATATAGGAGAGAAGTGCAAAGGATGAGGGTGCGTAGCAGCCTTCCATCCTTTGGGGAATACAACTCAAAATGAACCTGAAACAATCTGCTACCTTTTTTTTCCACTTCACTTTATCAACTCGTTGGCAGGATGTCTGCTGCTTTAGTTAAGTTTACAGCTGTATGGGGGGGGGTTGCGTACGAGGAAATGGAAATGTCGGTGTTGCATACGCACCCCCTCTGACATATGCAGGTATAAAAGAATCAGCAGAAGGAAGACAGAAAGGATTTGGAAAAAAAGTGTGTGTGGGGGGGGCGCTGAGGGCGGGTTTATCAGGCTTATCCATAGTATTCAGTGTAAGCATTTCATATAGACATTTCAATGGGGTCGTCGTGGCGCAGGGGTTAGAGAAGGTGTGCTGGGAAGCACAAGGTTGGTGGTTCAATTCCAGGCTGTTCATGTCGAAGTGTCCCTGAGCAAGACACCTAACCCCTAATTGCTTGCAAAAATGTGAAAAAGCCATGGGTTTAAAGTGTAATGTAAGTCGCTTTGGATAGAAGCGTCTGCTAAATGACCTGTAATGTAATCTAATTAACACACGACAATATGAAAATCATAAATGTTTCATACCATATAGTTTTTAAGCCGTACTCAGTGTGTCAATTGCGATTTTCTAAAACTTCTTGCATCAGAATACCGACAGGCTTAATGAACCCTAAGCAGACTTCAGACATTTCCTAAGACACTCCCTCACACAGAGGAAGAGGAAGTCTTCCTCTAAATGTCCTCAAATGTAGAATAGGAAGTGAGGGTGTGGCCTTTATATGCATTAGAGTACTAGCAACTTCAAATGTTTCACGCCGTATCTTTTAGGCCGAATAATGTTCAGACTCACGCACCAATAAACATGATTGTGTATTAAGTTCAGTTCAATCAAGTGAACCAAGCAGGTTTATTGATGTCCAAAAGCGATATTCAAAAATATACAAAAAAAAGTACAATTAGGAGATGCTACAGTATCTACTTACAATGTCAAAGGAATCGCTAAACCGCTCACTTTGGTTTACCAACCCCGCCATGCCCAAATACATTACCCTAAAAGGTACAAGAGAGATCTGTACAATAAAGATGACACTCCATTAGCTATGAAGGATCATCAATTATTGAAAAAAAGGAAATGCAGAGGTGTTGCAACCCATGTTGTTAGGGTGACTTGATTTTGGTCAAGCAGTTCTCAAAGAAAGACTTTTCTCTGGTGTGGGAACCATTCTGCCTTTGTCTCTCTAACCTTCCCCTTTCTGTGGCTCCAGATTGCATCAAAAGAGTCGTGTTTTTGTGATTTCTGCTTTAAGGACCTTTTTTACTCTGTTCCAGCCAGGTTGAAGTCGTTGTATATCCCACTGAAGTTCAGCAAATGGTTGTTGTCAGTTTCCTCCCTGATGCGATATATTCCTGCTTTGCTTTGCTCATGCTGCTAGATTGCTGTGCCCGAGCACTCGCACATCCGATGAGTCACTCGTTCTGTTTGGTTTTGTATGTGTAGCCTTGGTCGTCCCTGCTGCGCAACTGGAACAGCTTGGCAGTGACTCACCCTGGCTACATGGCCTTCCTCACCTACGATGAGGTCAAAGCGCGGCTACAGAAGTTCATCCACAAGCCTGGCAGGTGAGAAACTTGTTTGCCTACACCTGCACACACCTTGTTATTCAGTCCAAATGAATATGCGGTGTGCTTTGATGCAACAGAACAACATGCTACTGTTACCTAGCATTACTGGCCTGATTGTACACTGGGAGCTGATGTCTTGCCTTGTGTATGACCTCACTGACATCCGAGGCTTGTCAGGTTAGTGCTTAGAGTGAGAATTGTGTAAGTGTAAATGACAGCCTGCTGTCAGTGGGGATCAGTTTCCAGTCACACCAGTGGTCTCCACCCTAAATACCACAGCTAGTGTTCTAAAGAAAGACAGGCTTCTTTGCACGAGTTCATTCAACACACTTGATTTTAAAAAAGTAATTTCCTGATGAACTATTCTACGTTGAAACAAGAAGGGAGCCAATGTTTATTGGTGGGAAGAGAGGCTACATCTTTCTGAGAATGGTGCTTCCTCTTGTAGCTACAGTTGCAGTTCCACTTTAGATTACGTTGAAGCAAATCTATTTGTACCCATGAGGAACAAATCGACCTCACCTACAGCCTGGGAAAGCACGGTCGTCCCATGTGTTGAGCGCATTTCCTCCCACAATTCAAAAGGTAAATGTCATTCAAATCCAGCAGTTTTTACATCCATATTTACCTGCTAGCAGTTTTGATCGGGGAAACTTTGCATATCTGAATGTATTAATTCTTCCTGTTGATCAGTACAATAGTTGGAAACCAATTGTATGACCATGTACACATGTGCACCCTTTATGTGCAGGTAGCATTTTTGTTGTTGTTGATCATGCACAATAGATAAATAAAAAAATTAAAATTGCATTTTGTTATATTGCCACGGGGATGTGCACCTGCATATCTCAGCCTACGTATTTGCATATTGACTTTATTTCATGAATAGGTAAATGCATACTTGACTAACCGGTCCACTAGTGTACATCATGTGGGACACAACCTCCTCCCTTTGATCACGTATCAGGAACATGTATTACCAAAATATGTTCGACATACAAGGAATTTGACTTTGCAGTTGGTGCATAACATCAGACCGTAAGACAATGGACAACGAGACAGATATGATAGTGATAGTGAAAGAACAGCATAGTGCAAGAGGAATTTAAATTAAAAGAAAAAGTTAAAAATAAAGTGCACCAGCAAACAAAGTGAAAGTGGCGTGTGTGTGTGTGTGTGTGTGTGTGTGTGTGTGTGTGTGTGTGTGTGTGTGTGTGTGTGTGTGTGTGTGTGTGTGTGTGTGTGTGTGTGTGTGTGTGTGTGTGTGTGTGTGTGTGTGTGTGACGGCAGTGACCGGTGGAGAGATCACATATTGTCTGTGTGGAACAAAGTGTGACACAATTCCAGTTTGTCCCTAATTTCTCACGTCTCTCTCCGCAGTTACATCTTCCGATTAAGCTGCACGCGGCTGGGCCAGTGGGCAATCGGCTACGTCACAGCAGACGGAAACATACTGCAGACTATTCCCCACAATAAGCCCCTCTTCCAGGCCCTCATAGATGGCTTCAGGGAAGGATTGTGAGTCTACTCGCATTTTGTTCGGCAGGCTCTTATCTGTCATTTTCTCAGGGACTTCCATCTTGACCTCTGCGTCTGGGTGTTGGTCTTCATTTTTACAGAGTTTTAATAAATGATCAAGTTGAGCTTCCTTTCATATTTAGGGCTTTGCCTTTTCTGCCATTTCCCTTACTTGCTTTTCTTTTCTCTTCCCGCAAGTCATGCCTGTCTGTACTAACTGTGCAGCTCTGCTTTGCCTCCCCGAGTTGAATCTGCCCTTCAGCTCTAAACCAATCCAGCTATATCCTATTGCCTGTCCCCATCATTTCAGTGTTATCGTAACCAGGATATAACTGCTGGTTTCTAATGTCCAGATCAGTTAATGGCTTAGCTGGCCTGCATGAAACTCATCTTTTTATGTTGATTGGTTGGTTTAATGAAAGCTATATTCGGCCTGCTCCAACATGTAACCAAATCCTGATTTTCAACCAAGGAAGCCAGTATATATCGCCTGTATCTACAAAATGATTATACGTTGGTAATTACACCAAGTCACTCGTTTGGAAGTCACGTACTGTACATGCGTCATCTTGGTGATAATATCAAAACAAGTTTCCAGATTGAACAAATGCACTCCACAGATATTTTATTACCTCAGTGCAGCCTGTTGGTTAGAACATGAGTATAATTAACTAATTATAATGAGAACTTTTCTTTTTGTCTTTTCTTTCTTTTTTGTCAGCTATTTATTTCCTGATGGCCGAACCCAAAATCCAGATCTGACCGGACTGTGTGAGCCTTCGCCTCAAGACCACATCAAAGTCACACAGGTCAGAGCAGAAGCTCCTCATACTGCACCCTCGGTCTTTATCTGGTATTTTCTTCAGCATTTTATTGTAAATGTCAAATGTTTTTTTTGTAGTCAGGTTCTCAGTTAAGAAAAAAAAATTGTATGCAACAGTTTTCTAGTGCGTTACCAAGAAAGCAGAAGTGGAAGATATGATGAAACGCCACACAAGAACTGGGTTTGTCAAATGTTAAGTTGCTGTGAATATAAATATTAATATACTAAATATATTTCTTTAATAGGTGAAATAAACTGGATCAAAATGTTTTTTTTCTCTGTAATGAAAAATATGCAACCTGGGCTGCTGTAAATGTAGTGAAGGTGGCAGAAGCAGAAATGATTCATTGTAACCGTTTGTCTTTTTTTGTCCGGCATGCATAACTTTTGCCAAAGTGTTTACGAACATTCTCAATTTGCTTGAGCATAGGAGTGAAACTAAAAATCCACCCCCGCGTTTTAACTTTGCTTCCGATCCTTCGGGGCTCTTTCCGAATGATCTCAGATGGTGTTCGTACCGTCTTATGTCTTACTGTTCTTTGGGCACTGAAAGCTCATATGTGTCTCTCTTCTGTGCCTCAGGAGCAATACGAGCTGTACTGTGAGATGGGCTCCACTTTCCAGCTGTGTAAGATCTGTGCCGAGAACGACAAAGATGTGAAGATTGAGCCCTGTGGTCATCTCATGTGCACCTCCTGTCTCACTGCCTGGCAGGTAAGCGCGTGGGTGGATGCAGTAGGTTTAGTTAAATCGCATGACTCATACCTGCAGAGAGGCGAACTCACCGCTCAAGTGTTCTCTCTGGGGACGTGGAGCACATGAGCTCATTTCATCTCGGTGTGGTGTCGTATCTGCCTCTCCTTCTGTTACAGGAATCAGAGGGTCAGGGAACGGGGTGCCCTTTCTGTCGCTGTGAGATTAAGGGTACGGAGCCAATTGTGGTGGATCCCTTCGACCCCAAAGACAACAGCGGGGGCTCTTGCCGGGGCATGTTTGGGGCCGAGGGCGCTCCGTCACCCAGCTATGACGATGATGATGACGACAGACTTGAAGACCCCCACCTCATGATGACCAAACTTGCCTGCTCAAAGGTAAAATTGTGGTCAGACATTGACTTAATTGAGACAAAAGTTGGTCTTGAAGGTTTCTACTCATGACACTGAGCAAACCGTTTTTTTTCATAAACAAATGAGGCACTTGGCTTCGTTGGTTTGACCCCCTATGTGCCACTCGTCAAGTTCTTACTGTCCTCTTCTCCGCTTCCTCCTGAGAGACTCCGTCTCTGTATCTTTTGCATGTACTTAACATGCAAAAGGGTGTATTATATTGTCATAGTTTTAGATACTGCCTAAAACACATTTTTACCATAAATATGGTGTAAAACCTGAGAAACTGTGCTCTGTAATGTTTTCAGTGACAGAAAACATGACATCCAGCTCATTAACTGAGCCAGTACTTCAATCTTAAAAATTTCCTGGTGATAGTTTTTACACTTTAGAGTGACCATTTTAGGATTTCTCTTAATCGTTTCTGCTATGCCTATTTTAAATCAAAAAAAAAAAAATTGCTTGACAGTGGATCTCTTGTATAACGAAAAGGTGCCATTTGACAAATCTTGATTCCGGTGTGTATTATTTCCTGTTGATCCAGGTGGAGCGCCCCCCATCACCGATGTCCATGGCGCCTCAGTCCTCTCTTCCCCCTGTGCCGCCCAGACTGGACCTGTTACCGCACAGACCTCCAAACCCACCTGCGGCCTGCAGCCCCGTGGCCAATAGTAAGGTAACTGAACACATAGTTAGGGCAAGAGGTAATGTATCAGAACAAATATGTTCAAGAGTTAACATTTCCCACAGTCACACAGCATCTTCCATATGTGTTCTGATTGTCCAGCTTGTTTCTGGAGCGCTGTGTGATGGTCAACAGGATATGGTGCTGCTAGAAACAAAAAATGCATTTACGGTGGTCTTGTTGCTAGATGGATTATTTCCGTCTTGGAACATCACAACACGGAAGTGTTTTTTTCACGTCAGTGCTGTATGTAGTCTGAATGAGCTGCTTCCATCTCTGTTTCTCCGCTCCAGCTTGCATCTCACCACAAGGACAAGCCTCTTCCCCTCCTCCCGGCGCTGCGGGACCTCCCCCCCCCTCCTCCTCCAGAACGTCCCCACACAGTCGGGGCGGCTCCCGATGGGCGGGTGCAGAGGCGGCCCTTACCTTGCACTCCCGGGGAGCCCCTTCGAGATAAGCTCCCCCCTACGCCCCCAAACCGGCCTCCGGCTGAGTGGAACTCTCGTCCCGTTCCCAAGGCGCCCATCTCTTCCTCGTCGTCGTCGTCCTCTTCTTCCTCTTCCTCCTCCTCTTTCTCAGCATCCTCATCCAACCAGGTCTCCGGTCTGGGAGTGGACCTTCGAGCAGGTGTCAGGGAACTCTCCAACCGACACTCCCTCCCCTTGGCGCTGCCTTCCGCTCTGGACCCGCGGTCCGACTCGTCCAAGAACAACAGCTCCCTCAGTCTGGACCACCAGCTGGTCAGTCAGACCACAAAACGCCACAACTACCGTTTGGTTCAATGTATATTCATTATCTTCAATGACTAACGTGAACAATTTCACTGGGAACCGCTCTTAGTTTGACCACTATGTACACTGAAAAACGTGTATTTCCTTCAATGTCAGGCTATTGCGTATTTAAATATTCCTCCTTTTAAAAGTTTGTAAGATTTCAGTTTTCTGCTTCCTTAACAGAATTCCACGGCAGTCGCAGGACACGATTATGACAAGGCCAAAGTGAAGCCCTCATCCTCAGCCAACGCCATCTACTCAATCGCCATCAGGTCCGTTGTCCTGGCACTGTAATGACTTCTGGGGTCTCATTTATAAACGTTGCGTACGCACAAAAGAATGCGTACGCCGCTCTCTACGCAATAATTGGTATTTATAAAAAGCAAACTTGACGAAAAAATGTGCGGTCCTTCACGCAAGCTCAGACCCATGCGTACGCACAAAAACGGGTGAAATGAGAACCGTCGGCAAATGCAAGAAACACGCAAACGTGTGTGAAAGTGTGTAAAACTAGACTGTTGTAAAAGAAATGCCAATACTACCTCTCATAAATAACACAAACACCAGTTTGATCGATCTGCTGCGTAAAACAAACAGATACCAATTAACACATTTTCAAAAAGAAAAGTGAAATATGTTGTGCATGTTATGCATAACATATTATTATTATTATATAACATGTTATGCAATTTATCCTCAAAACACAGCGGTTGCTTTTCAGATGCAATCAAATGGACGGTAATAAAATGGCATGATGCCATCACAATGCGTAATGACGTGAAATGGCTGATTTTGCGCTCTTAGAAGACGTGGCACATGGAAGGATTCACGCTGTAGTGCAGCGCACCACCGGCCTGTTTAAAGGCAGATGGCGCTGCCTCGACTGCACTGGATGGAGGTTATTGTCTACTCCTGTGCAAAATCATGCTGGCATGTGCTGTGCTACATAATGTGGCACAGCTTGTTGGCCCATGTTGGCCCAGACCCTGTCCCCGATCCCCAATCATTGCCGCCAGTCTCTCATCAAGAGGGGACAGCTCCGGTGTCCCCTTTCCCCCACCCGTGGCAGGAACACTTTGGTGATGGCGCGCTAAACGCTTTGATGTCAGACCATTTTTTCTTTATTTCGGCCACAGCCCGAGGTTGTGAGGCTGCAGCGTTGCTCTGCAACCTTTTGCCACTTGAGTGCCTTTTTGGCATTAGTAATGTCCATACTCCTCCAAAAAGCATTTCTCCATTCTCCTTTCCACCTCGCCAATGATCATTTCCACTTCACACTGAGTGAAGTTACGTTTCTTCGTTTTCCTCAGTGTTTGTCATCATTTCGCAATCGATGAATATTAATTTGTGGGCGTTCCACAGACTATATATGGGCAACTATGGGCGTGACATGAAGCCGCAAAAGCTGCGCTGCATTTAGAAGTGATTGTGATTTATTAATGGAAAACTGCGTAGGACGTGCGTGCGCACGGTTTTATAAGTCGGAATATTTCTGTGCGTACGCACGTCCTAGGTTTCATCCGTACGCCACTTCTGGCGCAAATCCTACGCAAGGTTTTATAAATGAGGCCCCTGATCTTTGATTGTTTGCTCACTTTCACAAATCCCAAAGGCCATTTAATACACAATTCAGGGAGCTTGTTTTCAGTCCAAACACTTAGCATTTTTGTGTTTATACATTATACATCAGTATTTAGAGTTTTGCTATTTGTCTTTTGTGCACAGAACTTCTTCAACCCAGAGGCTGGTGACTGGAGAGGAGGCCCATGAAAGTGATGAGGAGTCGGAGTACATGATCCCGTCCTCCCGCCCCGTCCTGCCCCCCATCACGGCACCACCTGCAGGGGAGACCCCATCAGTCCCCAGACCTCCTCAGCCTCTAGCGGCGCTCCAGACACAGACCCAAGCTACTGCCCTCAACCTGCGGTATTCCAGACACTCAATGAATTCACTCCCCGCAGCATTTCTAAATTACTTTAAGAGACTCATGGGTGTTGTTATTGTTGTTTGTTGTTGTAGGCTGACACTGGCTGAACGAGAAGATGGATCTCAGATGGTTGACTCCATGTACAACGTCCAGGCCAGGTCACAGCAAGCCAGAGATTCAGGTATTCGTCCGTCTTTTGATCGTGTGGACTGGGACAGCTTAAATGAATGGCATTCGTTTTTTTTTAAACCTCAATGTGTCCATCGGGGAGACCTTTCGGTCTGCCACCCTGCAAACATCTCTGTCCATCAGAGGCTGCAGTGCTAATACGTTGTTTTCAATCCATCCCAGACTATTCAGAGTTGCCCCCTTTGGCGATGAGCAATGGCACAAGAGAAGCAGACGACGATGATGACGACGACGACGAGGAGAAAGAGGAGGAGAACTGCTACGATTTCCCCAGACCCCGGCTGCCGATGCCCACGACCCGACGGACCCTTTCAGAACTGGGGGGGTCGTCTTCCTCCTCTTTATCTTCGTCGTCAAGCTCATCCTCCACAGCTGCTTTCAGCCACCTTTCTCTAGATTCGGATGCTGGAGCTGCAGCACGTGAGTAAACTCGTCGAGGCAGAGCTAGCTTTTATCATTTATAAAGAGCCATTTTAGCGAACAGCAATGTCTTTACTGTGAGGGACATTCTTCTCTGTGTTAAATAAAGGAGATCACCTGTGGCTTTCAGAAACATTTAGACCTGTAGATACCACGAGGAAAGTAGGAAATACCCTTTGCAACTTGGGTGAGCCAACAAATTGGCTTTTGACACTTAAAAGTCCCATTTTTAATTGAGTGACGGCATGAACAGTTAGCAGCAATAGAATATGGTGTGTCTAATGTTTCATAATATTACTTGACATGTATAAATGTGTAATGGCATTAGCAGCCTCTTTGCTCAGCTCTTTACTGTCCAGCTAAACCTTTTGGAGGTTTGACTGCAACTAATGCCGCATTTAGTTACTCTATCTTAAACTGTAGAAAAGGGTGGGAAAGGATTTATTTCTCTCCTTGTCACTGTGAGCTGACATTTAGCACCTGAACAGTTTGAATGCCGACAGACTGAGAGTTACACTTTTATATCTGAGGACCAATTAAATGGCTCTTAGATAAGCTGCCAATCTCCCAGATCATAATTGGGACTCTTCATAAGTGCTTTGGGAAAGGTTGCTGCGGTGGAAATGTCAACCAGTTCCTCCATACATACAGTGATATACAAACACATTACAGACGAATAATCAGGTGCTCAGGATGCTTGTTTTTTAATGAGATTAAATTCTAAATTATTTCTAGCAAATTGAATCTCCATTCAGACTGATCTATACTGACTTGTTGACCTAAGCCGTCCAGACCTTTTAACTTTTTTTATAAATGCGTATATGTGCCTTCTCTTCAGCCTTTTCGGAGCCGCCGGAAGCACCAGAGAGACCTCCGAAGCCGCTGCCCAGACGGATCAACTCTGAGCGCAGACACAGCCCCGTCCCGCCCGTCCCTGCTCCACCCGCAGCAGCAGGAGGAGAAACCAACCCCCAAATCAGTTGGGAAATTGAGCACCTGCTGAGTGAGGGCTACTCATACCAGGACATCCAGAAAGCACTGCTGATTGCACAGAACAACATTGAAATGGCTAAAAACATCCTGCGCGAGTTCGTCTCCATCCCCACCGCCGCGCACGTCCTCACATAGCACCCTGCCCCGCGCGCTGCTCTCGTGTTCGCTCTCTCGCGCTTGCTAAGCCCGGCCTGGTTGGGCCGAGGTCGGCACAGCCCCGGCCCCCAAGCCCATTAAGCCTGCAGCTCTACCTCCGGTGCCGGCTGACGCCCGACGTCCCTGCGGACTTTTCTAACTGGCTGTTACACCTGTGAGCTTGTGGCACTTCTTGCACTCCGTGTGCTTTCAACAGTGTCTGGCCTTCTTTTAACTGCTGCAGCAGGCCTCTTCGTTTCATGGACATCTCTACGGGGGGGGGTTCCCGAGCGTGTGCGGAACCATGACTGGACGCCGAATGGCACCAGACCTTCGTAGGACTCTGAGGGAACGCTGACAGTTTGTCATTTCCCTTGTCAGAAAATGTAAACAACACCTCACAAAAAAACTAAAAGTGTATGTCTATATGAAAATTTAATATATAAGTAAATATATATTAAATGTGTGTAATATATACAGTACGTGCATATACAGTAGGTAAACGTAACTTCAGCTTTGAGGGTCGCTGTTGGTACGAGCAACATCGGTAGCCGGGGACCATTTTAAAAAGGGGCTTCGGGGGCCGTGAGAGAAAGAAACGGAAGGAAGAGTCGGACGTCTTCCTCTCCGGGATGAGGCGACATCCGTTTATAAGACGCGCTGCGGAGCTTTTTCAGGATGGATTCAGTCTGTTATGGCCTTCGATAAACGATGTTGCTTTGGTACTTTTTATTTTTTTAGAGAAGATGCTTGTTTTGTTGTGTTGTATTTTTCAAAGTAGCATGGCGATGATTTCGGGTCCGTTGGACTGTTGTCTTGGCAGTGTGTGTTTTATATGTGTGAGTTTTGTGTACGTGAGCATGCATGTGTGCGTGTCTGCCAGACACTTCTCCTCATGACCTCTTAGACAAACCCCCGTGTTCCTGAACAACATGAATGTGGAATTACAGTCGGCATACTCTGCACACGCGCTACCGCTCTAACTGGATGGGCGGGGCCTCGTGTTGCTGCACCGCCTGGCAGGGGGGGTTATTGGAGGACGTAATAATGTTGACAACCCCGCAGTGCCAGACGAGCTTGTGTTGTGTGATCTGTGGTGGCTGAAATGTTTTCATTGTGTCTTTTGTCTCACCTCATTGGCTGGCTGATTTAAAAGAATGTTCTGTCTCCAGCCCGGTCCAGTGTTATGAAACAAACAAAAAAAGGTGACATTGATTTATTTAGGTAATGTTTTATTGTAATGTGATCATACATATTGTTGTTATAATTAATTCAGAAGTGCTTCACTGCTGCTACTATTGTTAGTGCTAAACAATTAAGCCTTAAATGTACATTTGTGAATATCGTGTTTACCAGTCCTCCGGTCTCTTTAAAGTGACAGTATCATCCATGTCTCTGGTCCGTAATGTAGCATACTTGAAAGTACAAACGGCTCGGGAGCCTGCAGCCCTCTCAAGCCCCCTCCCACCACCCCCACACACACACACACACACACACACACAGACCAGAGGTGACTGCAGAGGCTTTTGAAAAAGTCTGCTACTAGAAGAGCCAACTCAGGAATGATATTTATCTGGAGGAGAGCTCCGCCCGCTGTCTCCTCGTCCAGCTGACATGTAGCTGTATCCACTCAATGATCCACCCAATGAAGTCACACAAGTAGCCGATCGCTTAGAGCTCGCTCGTGTTCATTTTCTCTGTTTGCGGGACTCAAAACAGCAGCTTAATTTCCAGGTACAATGAATGAATCCGATGAATTAGTGCACGGAGCTTTGAGGTACACAGACTTGAACCTCTCCCAACATATGAAGAAGAATGTTATTTTTGAGGGAGGGTTTGAATCATGTTGAAAGCCAGTCACCACTGGCTTTTTCTGGGGTAGCTCTCTCCGGCCGTCCTCTAGTGTTTCCTCCCTGTACCTAGTTGCCTTGAGAAACAATTTACCAAAGCGTGCTTTGATACTGTCACTCTAAAGAAAAGGTATATTGTACAAAGTTAGTAATAAGAACAGAGAAACGTGGTTATTTCAGTTTGCATTCCTGTACAAGTATTTTGTTCCAAAGGTTTTGTTTACTCATGTGAATAATTCTGTGAGCAGTGCCATATGTTGAGAGATCCTCACCGTGTTTAAAGGAAAGGCCATGATGTTGAGGAGAAGTTGTTTTTGTTCTGTATCCGTGATCTCGGCAGTGTTGCTTGTATTAATCTGTCCTCCTCCGCCTTGTCAGTCACATCAAGCCTCATTTTGCAGCACAAGCGCTGATCTGGGATAAGTTCCCGTCACTTTGTTTTTCTTACCTGAACGACGAACCAGGTCCCAGACCAGCACGCAGCCTCAGCTAAGCTAAATGGTGCCAGCCGGTTGCCCTCCGACCTGGTGTGAGGGTTCTTCCCCTCTCTGCCAGAAGAGGGAGCTGTGGATCCACGTGGTGTGTCATCAGTACAAGTCATTCAATAACTTTTGATGGTTTTTAAAACTCATATCACTTTGGAAGTATGCACAGTGCTGTTAATAAAATATGTAAAATCTACAAACATGCATTTCCTCTCTACATGGATATTGTTGTAGTAGTGGTGCTAGACTTACTGAACAGTGAATGTATTTATTGATCAGAGTCTTAACAGATTTAATGTGCAGATATTGAACAAGAGGTGTTTTGAAACAGAAAACAAATTCTGACCTCCAAATTAAACTGCCATCAAAATTGCTAACTGTATTAGATTACATTAAATGTGAGCTCTGAAGATGTTGACTTTATTTAACGTACTCTACAATGGCTTTGCATGAATGTTGTATCATTCAGCATATTTAAAGTTTAGTGAACTAATAACTGCTTAGGAACGTTCACCCAACTTGTGGAGCGTGTTTTCTCTTTATAATATTTACGCTTTATACAAAAAAACAATAGTGACTTCTAGTGGTGTTTTTTGTATAGTTCATATTTTGACTGACATTTTTCAACGTATAATATGATTTTCTATAACTTTTTGTTTTTTAGATTTTCCTATGACTACATTAATGGCTTAGGACCGGTTAAGTCACTCATTAGGTTATTGCAACAAAGTTTTCATTACTTTTAGTTCATCCTAGTTCATACATTTTTATGAACATATAAATTCCATTTATGACATTCCATATATAAAATTTGTATGACTTTTTTTAAACATACTATTCCACCCCTTTTTATGAATTTTTTTGTAATTTCATATATTGTATTAGTACGTATGGTATATCTTCTACCTTTTCATCACTCTGTTTAACATGGAATTCAATTCATTGTTTTTGACAAACTAAACTATCACTCTTAATGTTGAAACATCTAGGATTTTTCATGGGTTTTCACACATAAATTACAATGATTACCAGGATTTTTTTGACATACTAACATATTTGTTGCACAATGCCATTCATGCCTTTTCACTAACACTATAATTTTGGGACTTTTTGGCCAAAAACAGTCTGACCTTTTTGTGACTGACTTATTTAAACTACAAATAATTCCGTGACTTAATCCCAAGTAAATATGCCCTCGCTATATTTTTCAAATTGCTTGCATGAACATGCTCAGCTGAACATTCACAAAAGATTCAAGTTGAAGCTCAGTGATTTATCTTAATTCAGTGGAAGTTCACCAACTTAACACAGTTCTTTTCATTTAACAGTCAAATATTTATTTGGTATAATTTTCAAAAACTACAAATAATGAAAACAATTGTTGAAGAAATGGTTTGAATAGTTTGTACATTTCACAACTCCATGGCATTTTACAGACTTCACACACACTTCCAAGATCATGCAACAGTGGTAGTTTGTCAAAGCAGCAGAACGAAACAGACGAACGGCGTAGGAAGGGTGAGTGTGGAGGACACCTGCACATTACTGACCAGTGATGCACCTTAACTGATTGTCTACTAACTTCATTTGCATATGCAAGTCACAGTCATTCCCCCCCCTCAGTAGATTGTAGTCATCATGTCTGGGGGGGAATTGGATTTCTCTCTGGAATCCAACTGATTTTTTTTTTAAGATTCAGTTTAAACATGCATTAATTGTACAGAATTCTGTCTTTTTCTTTTTCAGGAAGGCAACGTAATATCGTGAACCATGTTAAACACGGACAAACGGTCGGTTCTATCCTCTTTCCTCTTACAAAAATAATTAAAATAACTACTGAAATCATTTGTATTCACATACAGTCACACTAAGCAAACAACAGCATGAAGAACAACCACAAACAAATCAGTGCACTGAACATTAAATAAAAACAACTAGCAATAGAAATAATATTTCTACATGTCTATGTCTTTTTTTTCAGGCTTTGATTACATTTCTAAGGCACCTGTAACTTTTTGATATGGCTGTCGGCGACGCTTCCACTCAAACACACACATCAAAAACAATTTTAAAACTAGACCGTGAAGGAAAGCAAAGTTAAAGGAACCCTCAAATAATGTTAACCATTCTATGTGAAATGCTGAAAATATTTTTCACCCATCTTGCAATAAAGACAAACTGTGAAGTGTAAAGCCGAGCGTGTTAGCCGCAGAGAAGAACTACTACGAATATGGATCATGTGCGATTAAATGACCTAAAACTTTTGTTTTTTAGAGTTAAAAGGAAAACTTTGGTGTGTCTGCAGGGGGCTGCGTCCCCAAAGGCTTCAGTGTGCAGGCTAAACAGGAAGCATAGAGACAGGGAGATATTACAAGTAAAGACATCTACTCAAGCACGTCTTGCTCTCCAAAAAGAGCACCAAAACTAAATATAACACTATCTGGTTGTTTATTTTTGGTTTATTTTTTCTATTCTGTTATTTTAAATAAAGAAATATATACATAGATTATAATATGTACACTAAGCAAAGAGCTGTTTCAGGTGGCTCTTCAGTGATTACGTATAAAAACTGTCCCTGGTCAATGTGCTCAAATGATTGTTTCTACCGACAGTCAGCAGTATGCACGGCTTTTGGTAGTAGGAACAGGACAAAGGACAAAGGACAGTCCTCGTTTCCATGGGGGTGGGGGGAGTATTCGGGGAGTTACGTCAGGGCACAAATCTCATTAAAGCTCATTCCAACAGAACGCTTTGCTGGATGCAACAGGCGGTAAGCAAAAGCTGCAGCACAGAAGCACCCGAGACCCAGACGGATAATAACGGACCGGCGACTTCTCCCCGTGACATAACTGTGGGTCACGGGGGCTGGGGGCCGAAGCTGGAAGGGTCGGGCCGGTCTAAGCCTGAGAGGGAGGTACGGGAGCAGCCTTCTTCACATCTGTACATCCAGGTAGGCAGCGTCCTTCACTGCAGAGGGAAAGCACACGAGTTAAAACGCAATAAAAAACAGAGCGGTGCCATAAATCACACATCATTTCAGGCCGCGACCCCTTCATTCCAACAGCAAGTATCTACCTGGTTGCGGGGCGTTTGCTTTTCCCCGTTGACCCCAAGGAGCACAGCTTCCTCGGTGTTGTCGTTCTTCATCTCCACCACGATGTTGTCTTTGCCCGACTTCTCTTTAGTGCTGCAAAACCAAAGAAAGTCCTTAATGCAGGAACCATACGCACTACATACTTCCACCATGCCGCCGAAACAATGACAATCCATTGTTTGTTTAAATTGACCTTTTGGACACAGTGGGGGAAAAAAAAGATTAGTTATAACATGTAGCATGTATTTAAATTGTATTTATATAGAGCTGAATTATAGCTAATAATAATAATAATAGATGACAGTTGCAATTTCTTTGAGGCGACATAAATGTTGTCCTTGCCTGCGACCCAATATGTTATTCATATTAGTTCAAAGGTGTAAACAATGCATGTTGGCAAATGACCACTGACCAATTCGAAATCCCCTCCGTACGAAAATATCAAGGAATATCAGTTGATATTAACTTGTTATCTTAAATTTCATTTTGTAAAGAAAAGTTTTCAGATTGAATTGACTCCACCAACTTTCTAAACTGCCATCTCCAGATTTGACGAAGCTGATAATGCATCTGGCATTTAAACACATTACATTACATCCCCCCCGCCCCCCCCGCCCTGCCTCCAAAACGAAGGTGTTCAGGTTGTACTTACAGGCTCTGCTTCCCGGACCGCCCACAGATCTTTCCCTTCTTGTAGAGGAAGTAGAGCACACTCCCCAAGATGGCCAGCAGCAGGATGCAGATAATGACGACTGCAATGACGACACCGGTGCCCTCTGGTGGGGGAGAAGCACAACGACGACAGGGGTTAGTCACTGAAGACGGATTACGCAAGAGGTGACAGCATGAGGCGGGACAGTGGGATACGGGACGGCATCGTGCAGCATTCCACAGTACGTAGGAACAGTAAAGGCATTTCAGCGGTGTGTCTAAAGAGAGAGCAGCGCCAGCATCGTTCAGGTGACCGTCATTCAGGAGTGAAAGGAGGAGAGCTGTGCGTGTATACTTATGACAACATGCACAGGGAGAGGTGAAGATGGACAAATCAATGATGGTGTGACATGTTTGTTCATCAGAAGAAAGGCGAGGTCAGATGAATGCTGGGCAGAGAGAGAAAGAGAGAGAGAGAAAGAGAGAGCTGTGGAGAAGTGAAAGGAAGCTTCATTTAGGGTGTCTTCAACAGTTAACATACAAACCTTTCCTGATTTTCTTTGCTGGGATTTTTGCTTTGAGAAAAACCACATGGGAACATTTATTAGTGCTCATAAGTTTAATAAGTTATACACACAAACACAAACACACAAGCAGTTTAGACATTCAGCAAAAGACTGAACAAGACAGAGACGATGAATGTTTTCGAGAGGATCCTGATTGTGAAGCTAAAAAGCTCTGCATCTAATGCGCTGCTGCAGTAATTCCCCGCGGCGTCAGGCATAATTCAACCAGCGCTTCGCCAGACGCGACGAGCTGGAAATATTCTGCCGTGATATAGCGGAGAGAGGAGGCAGGAGGAGAGAGAAAACAACACACCCAATGGGAGTCACCAGACTCGCTCTGAGTGCTTTTAAGCATCAGCTGCCTGCTCGAGTCACACTGACGCGTGTGTGTTTGTGTTTGTGTACCCGGGACGGATCTTCACGCCGTTGTTCTGCAGAATGCAGAAGGCCAATTGTGTCTTTTAAATTGGGTTTAATGAATTTATCTTCTTCGAAAGAAACCGAATTGGCAGATTATTCGTAAAACTCATTCAAAATAATCGTGTTCTAAAATAATAAAAGGAGAACTGAAATGAGTCACTGACAGCAATGACAGTAATATGAAAATCTATCAATAACACTGCGACAATCGCTGCCGCTTCAGGTGCTTTGGACTTTTTCTTTCTTGCTCGCATTGCTTCTGTCTAAGCACATAATGCCCTTTACTGCGTCTCTCCCTCTCGAGTCCGTTTGCCGTTGGCTGGAGTGATGCGAGGGACGAGAGCGATCTTACCTGTGCCAGTGGTAGTTGTAGTGGTGGCTGGTACGGTGGTGGTGTGTACGACTGAATTCAGGTAAAGAAGCAGACGGAAGGAAGAGGCTTGTTAACACATGGGGTGAGTAGGGGAGGGGACGGGCGGAGGTGGGGGGGGGGGCACAATATAACAGCCGCACGACTTTTGCAGCGTCCCGTCGCACACGGTCGAGCTCGATGGACTCGATCAAAGGACTAATTAAACAAAAAGTGACACTGACAAGAATGGCAGGACCAGGGAAAAACGTGGGAGGGGGGGGGGGGGTTAAGAGAGAAGGACAACAGACAAACACGAAAACACAACACAAAGGGTGGTGTCGGAAAGCGAATCCGGCAAAGGAACGTACTGGCTTTAATGTTGAAGGTCAACGAGTCTGTGCCGAGGGCGTTGGAGGCCTTGCAGGAAGCCGTGATGTCAGAGGTGACATCGATGCGGACCACGCTCATGACTTCACCCTCACGCTCCACTTCAGACTCTGCTTTGAGGATCTGGTACGAACACGATTCAATTCAATTTATTGTGTGTAGCACCAAATCCCACCAATACGAAAACCTTTTTGCCTGTAACATCCACAGAATTGTAAACCACTTTGTTGTGGTAAAACTCACCAGTTGGGGTCATTTGGGTTTAAAGAGTATTAGATCTAATCAAATTAGGACACATCTGAAAAGAAGTGCCTTTCTGCTGCAGCGTAAGCTAATAAAAATGCTCTTCCCTGTGCTTTACCGTTCCATCAGCGGTGATCCAGATGACACTTGGAGTAGGGAAACCTCTGACATTACAGCTCAGATTCACTGTGGTCTCAGAGCTCTCCTCCATCTCTGTGTGGTCCGACTTCATGATCTGTGGTGGTCCTGCAGAGAGACGCCAAACTCTGTGATTGACCATAACTACCATAGTAACAGTTGCTGACCCACAGAGACCTTCCATTAAAAACTGCCACATTGACCAGAAGAATACAACTGAAACTAAAAACAAGAAGGAAACAGTATACATTATATTATTAGGATATTTCTTGAGGAATGAAGCCAATTAAATATGTGTGATGATGATATTTACCTTGGACTTTGACATTAAGTGTCCCGTTGGTCTCCATTCCCTCAACAGTCACCAGACACAGGTATGTCCCCGCTGAGTCAAATGTGACGTTCTTAAGGATCAAACTGTGGCCCCTTGAAACCTCCTCTCCGAACTGCGCACACACACACATACACACACACACAACGGGGCACAAAATGCACGTTTAATACAAATGCATAGATATGACGCAGTACATTATCATTAATAATTCAATTATCAAATTAAAATTCCTATTTTAACTGAAAAAGTATTATTCTTTGACCAATGTTCACTACACACAGCTTAAAATAATAAGACATTTTCTTGTAGTCTTTTCCAACACAAATATTTTACTATAGTTCCTGTTTGGCCACCTGTTACACTGAAGCTACACAAATGTTTCACTGCAAATTACAAAATGTTGCTGCCGTTTGTGTCTTTGTTCTGTGCTGCATGGGTGTCGGAGACCTTCATCCAGACTGTCTCTGTCTGGAGAGAAGAGAGGGCGTTGCAGGTGGCCGTCAGCTCCCCTCCAAGGTCCAGCAAAACGGTGTCTTCAGGCACCACGACGGCTGCATCGAGATCTACAGGCACACGCGCAGAGAGAGAAGGGATATCAAACCGGGCAGTCGCACGGCTGGTACGTTGTATTCATCGTGGTCACGTGTCTCCTTACAGTTGACGAACACAACGGTTTTTCCTTTGATCTCCTTGAAGGTGTCCGTGTCCGTAGAGATGCATTCATATACTCCATTACTTAGACGGGTGACATTATGAAAGACCATCACATTGTTTTCTGGAGTGTAGTCCTCCTGCAAGAAGCCAAAATGATCTGATCAACATGATCTGAAATTTAGTTGAAACTATGAAAACCAGGAAGTAGCAACCGTGCGGGTGCATAAATAATTAGCAAAAAAGGGCTTGATTCTCTTACCCCATTGTGATGGAACGTTAAGATTGAGGACGGCATATTCCCGTTGCCACGGCAGTGAAGCTCAATGGAGTCCCCTTCCTTGATGATGCCCTTTGGTGACTCCACCCAAACATCTACAGCTGTAGAGGGGTCTGAAACCGAGAGAGGAATTCAAGCCGGACCACAAACTTGAAGTTGTAGAAGATGATTCTGATTCCCACATCCAAACAAGGCAAATCATCGCAACCAGTCTTGTAAAAATCCATTGTCCAATTGTAATTGTTTGTCATCCATGAGAAACATGCTATTTGGTCTGATAGTAGACCAGGATAGTTATTTGATGTCATTTATGACACTCACAGTATACAGTGATGTTAATAGCGCTGGTCTCAGTCATCCCCCATCCTGCAGGGACAAAGAAGTTGATCTCGCAGTAGAACAGATCATCTTTGTCCTCCTTCTTCACCACCATGTTCAGCTCACTCTTGACAGTGAAAAGACCATTGGATCCCAATATAGAGCTGGGCACCACCTCCAACACTGGAAAACAAGGAAGAACAGGCAAGGAAATGGAGAAAAGGCCGGTGTAGAGTGCAGAACGTTTTTGGAGATGTAAAGCCATCTCACCACCCGGAGCCGGGCGCACCGGTGTCTTGTTTCTGTACCAAGTGATGTTCGGCTTGGGGAAGCCATTTTTGACCTCGCAGGTCCCAATCTGGGAGAGAGGATGAGAGGAGTCCAAATTCAAGGAATGTTTTCTAGCCTAATATTTAAATCATTATGTTTTGGTTTGAAAGCTTGTTTACCTTGGAAAGGCTGTGTTCATTAATTGAGAAACCCGTCTTCACACCCTCGATGGTGGGAAGGTCTGGCTTTGCTGCAAGGAAAATAAACACCGAATTAAGATCTAAGGGAGAGAACATTTTGTAATTGATGCTTGGGCAGTTAAATGTTGGTAGTTGCAAACAGTTTTAGTGTCTTAACAAGTTGAATATGTAAGATGAAGTGTCATTGGACACACTGGAAGGGATTGAAGGGTAATTCCTGTAATGAGCTGAAGTTTAGGATGAAGTGAAAATGTTGAAAAATATTGAGCGGTAAACGGATCGCTGAAAATGTGACTCTTTGAAACGTCAAATAAAGGTGACAGTGACCAAGAGTATATCAGTTTGTGAACATTGTGGCACGTCTATTATGTGTGACAAGTGGAACTTTTAGTTAAGTTAAGAGTTAAGAGTATTTCTTAGGTCGAGTTGAACCTGAAGATTAAAGGTCAAATGAGCATTTAATTATCATTAATTTGGAAACTATTTTAAAGTCTAAATTAGGTTTGTAGCTGGCATTGTGAATTAGTTTATAAAGACTAAGGGAATTGAAAAAAAGTTATATTTGGGCACACATATATCTGAAGCTGGCTCAATAACTATGACACTTATTCAAACCATTAAAACAAAGCATCTCAGCTTGAATCTTACCAAACACCTTCAGCGTTGTGCGTCCATTTGCAGTCCCTTCTACAAGATCTCTGATGGAACAGATAAATTCCACTCCGTCGTCCACCTGCACATCGCTGATGGTCATCACGATCACTCCGCTGGCTACGGTACCATTCACACTCATCCGGTCCGTGAATTGTGTGCCTTTGGTTACCACCTTCTTGCTTGGGTCCTGGTAATAGAGGCTCTGCTTCTCACCCCTCTTTGTCACCTAAAGGTTTCGAGTACAAACACATAAAACGTCACACATGCATAGACACACCATCCTCTGTTTACGCGTGCATCAGGATTGCTACAACTCACGTAGAACCACTCTATGATCACGCCGCTGACGCCTTCGGGTAACGTGAACATGCAGGTGATCGGGGTCGTCTCTCCCTTGAACACCTCCACTCTGTCCTCCATGCTCACCTCCACTTTAGCCGCCACTGAAAGAGACAGACGATGTATAACTGTTCAACGTTTTCTGTTTTATCACCATCAACTTTATGTTTGCTCCAAAACACAACGTATGTGTGCGCTTCTTTCTTGACAAAAAGAGTGCCAGTCAAAGCTCAAACGAATTACTGTAATAGGATATGGAAAGGGTGATGGGATTGTCCCATTTGTGAGTGCTTCATGGTCTCTGGTTTAAAAATATGTAATGGAAATATTGGGTTAGGTGGTGTGGGGGGGTTAACTCAAATAAATGCCAATACCAATGTAGTGACAGATTTTCTTGAGCCACTCTGTAGGGTGCGGGAGAAAATCCGGTTCCTCACCCGCTCACACAGAGATTACAAGTCTTTTTGTTTTCTTTGGGTTGAAGTTCCTGTTTATTTAATTATATATTTTATGAAACACAACTCCATCTATATTCCGTTCTTGCTCTCTCTGTGCATCCTGGTAGCGGTAAAAACCTTGCAATCTCCCCGTCACCCATGCATCATTACCCGCACTAATTGCACCTGTGCCCCCATATGTAGACCGTCACACTGCCACCCGTGGCCAACCGGGGATTGGCTCCCAACACCAAGTGGTACACAACATCCTGAATGGCTCCTGCAACCAATATATCTGCTTTAAGCCAATATTGGCCAATACACTATATGAGCCATTGAAAAACATAGAGCCAATTAACCTTCATTGCAGTGATCAGGTTGTAACACGACTGAACCTCATAGTTAATAATTTGAAGTTTTGAAGTTAGTTTTATGGTGATAGATAGTATTCCTGGCATACACACCCCAGTTGACGCAAACTCAAAAGGAGGCATTGAAACAAACAAGAAAAGAGGAGAAGGTCATGAAGGGTCAAAGGGAAGAGCGTGACGCTATGACAGGAATGAGAAGCCCACCCATGTCCACATTAACGCTCTGCATTCCACCGTGTCACCCTCTCCCAGGAAGAAAGGCTCAATTTACAGGCAGCACAGTAGCCCCACTGTTCCTCCACGCTGCGTCTCTACTGACCGAGGTGGTTTTCCCCCTTCCAGGGTCTCGAGCCATCCCACTAGTCTATAGGAGGGAGCCCCAATCGCACTTTACATCGCAGTGTGTCATTAGATGTACGAGATGCCGTGCAGAGATGTGGCCTGAAGGTTACCAGGCCGCCAGGTTTGATTTAGGATTTCCTGACTGTTCGTTGTGCTGCTGAATGTAGCTGTTCTACTAGTTTATGTTAAGGGCTGCTGGGAGTAACGTAGATGTGGTTTGTCTGTGTCCTGCATCGACCTTCTTTTAATCCTTCAATTGAATCCCAATGACGACAGACGATACACAATAAAGGCTCATCTCAGGCGAACACACACCAGACACAAGGTTCTTTTCTTTGACAACGCATATTACATTATATGTTTGGAAATTCCAGGAATATAGCTTCCACGGTGTCTCATGGTCTTCCTCCGCAAATCAACCTTGCTTATTTTTCACAGAGACAGTTGCCATCACAAGACACAAATATGGTGCTTGGATAGTTATGATGTTCCACACTTGGGCTAATCTCCAGAACATGACTATTGGATTTGGTAAATAGAAAAGAAAAACCAGAGAGTTAGAGCGAGACTTTCAAAGAAGGAAGAGCTCTTTCTGTCCTTTTGACAATTGCTCGTTTGACCAGATGCTCGAGTCGGTTAATGTCGGCACATTGTAGGTGCATCTGGTCGCAGCGCTGGGAAGCTAGCTAAGCGCAGTACGCCAGCTCTTGATTCAGCTATGCTAAGCTGCCTGCTGTTTTTACTTTTTATCAAAATACAACTTCAAAGTTGACAAATATAAAATCTGGAGCCTGGCGTTTCTGTAAAAGGTTGATTGTTTCACATTTTCATTTGCAAAAAAAACAGTTTGTCTTTCAGACCAAATAGTATTCTATTATTATATGCATAACCTTGTAATACCATAAGAGCCGGGATGCCTGCTGATGGTCTTATTAGCAGCAGACACTCCTTTCCTCCTGGCATCTCACTCCATCATCATCTGCACGGGCAACAAACATTCACAGCATTTGCCACCAAACTAAACCTGATTGCTTCTTAATCTGCATCGACAATAAACATGCCTTCGCCTTCTTTCCCGGCTCTCCCTTCCTCTGTTTACATCTCAACCCCCCCTTTGCTCTCCCACCTGCCTCCCCCCCTGTTGTGTGCTGTTTACCGCCAGCTAATGTAGCTGGACGGATGCTTTGCTGTTAAAGGAATCCAATTAGTGTCTTCAACATAGAAATTTCCTGGCCATTAGCGTTGGATGGACAACGCTGACTCACTCGCAGCATCCAATCCCCCCCAGCCGAGGACCCCCACCCCCACCCCTAGGATGAGCATCGGGATTCAGAGGGGAAAATCCAGATCTACCATTTAGATCGAACCAAATGTTTCACAAACTCTTCCTTTATCCTGTCTGTCAGCTGGAGTCTGTTTACTCAGAGGAATCTCAATCAAATCTCATTAGTAATTTGACCAGCATTCATCTCCGCAGTGCATCAATCAGAGCTGCTGGCACTCCAAGGCCTCAGATCGATCCCCTCTGAGGATGGGAGAGCAGATGTTGGAGTCCATGAACATTTGATAAAAGTTCTGAATCAGTATGAAAGAATAAAGCCAAACATTCCTTCCTGAGAACAGCCCGCTATGGAAAGGGGGGTCCTCGCTATTATTATCATCCCCTTTAGCGAACAGTATTCTTACACCTGAAGAGTGTGTGTTTGACCCGGGGAAAACTATTTGCAGAGTCTGGGATTTCTATGAAGAGAGTACAATGTGCTCTGTGCTCCATAGTAAATATTTACTGCTGACCCTGAGCGGGGGACATTGTGGCAAGTTGTGTGGCACGATGTAAAAGTTACAATTATTACAAGTGCATCACGAGTAAATTAGAGGGAGGGGGATTTGGCTACACTAAAAAGTCACTGCCCCATGAAGAGATGCTCCAGCACACATATGGTCCCACGTATGCTCCTTGAAAATGTTCTAGCAAATATATAATATTCAGTGCATGTGATATTGTCATATAATGTGTAAGAGAAACCTAAAAAATTGTGTGACATAGAAAACACTTTTTCAACAATTTCAACACAGTTTATTTGATCACAAATACGCAAATAAAGATAAAATGTACCATTCATTGCAGTTAAAAAGAATATTTAGCTTACACATACACAGAAATGCACATATTCTTCCATATTAATTGGTATGTCCGCGCCGATAATCAAGCGTCTGAGTTGAAGGTGATCCCTCTACAGAAATAACCCTAAACCCCGACCTCCCTGAGCGCAGCTCCAAAAGGGTGGATTGTATAGAAAGGCACTGCAAACCTATGGGCACTTCAAGATAAGACAGAATAATGCTGCTGTAAAAGGAGAACAGAGCCAGGATAAGATAATCTCTTGGGGGGGGGGGGAAGTCAAAGACATTGTTGCATCTAAGTCAAAGCCTTTTGTCAGAATTACCAATAGGTTTCTGTCTTTGCAGAGCGAAGATAACAGAACTTCCTGCCAGACTCGCAGCTATGTAATCTCTTCATTCAATCCTCTCAGTACAAGAACAAAGAAGAAAACCTCCCAAAAAACAAAGAAAACCATTGTCAGGTGATCAGCAGAAATCAGGATAATTTATGCCCAAACATTCATGACTATGTATTTTGAACAGACGATCAGGTTAATTGGGGACTTTAAATTGCCCGTAGGTGTGTGAATGTGAGTGTGAATGGTTGTCTGTCTCTGTGTAGCCCTGCGATTGGCTGGCGACCAATCCAGGATGTACCCTGTCTATCGCCCAAAGTTGGCTGGGATGGACTCCAGCCCCCCCGCGACCCTGTGTGCAGGATAAGCGGTTTGACGATGGATGGATGGATGGATGGCTCTGCCGTGTGCAGTAGACGGACGAGGTGAAGCATGTGCTTGTTCAAAGGCCCGTATCTGTTTTGACTCTGTGAGGGCTGGAAGCCATGAAGGCTTTAGTTGACAGGCTGCAGTCGACCTGCTCTCTCTGTCTGTGTCTCTGTCTGCCTGCTCTGGCAGGCGGCCCAGACCACAGATGGTCATTTGTGAGGGAGAGGAGAGGCGGACGTCCACCCTCAGCACGTTAACAGGCATCCAACCCAGATTATCGTCCTTTAATCTAACCGGCTGGCAGAAAGGTGGCGCAGGTGCACGACATGGTCTCACAATGACTTGTGGAAACTTATGATGCAACAAAAGCAAACTCCTCTGAAGGGATTGTGCTTTCCGTTCAACGGCAATTAAAGCAATGACCTTCCGTCTTTCCTTTACCTTAAACGGTTCTCTGTGCGATATGTGGGACAAATTATTTTGCTATTAAAAAAAAAAACAGTGGTGTAATATCTACCTAAGCAGAGTACTTCTCCCTTGGTGTGTGTTGTTGTTGTTGCTCTGTTGCTGTTGCTAAGCTCTATTTGCTAAAAAAAAAAAGAGCAGATAAGGTGTCATATAAACAGCATTATTATTATTGTCATAGTCTTCAACGAATCAGATCTTTGGTTTGAAATGTTGGGCATGTTCTTTGACGGGCCCGTAGTACCGTCCGTTTATGTATCTGCAGTCAGCGTGTTTATAGGTGTTGATAAGTTAGATTTGATTTAACTTTAAATGTTACACATGTGAATATGTGGCGTTTACACTAAACAAACAATAACCTGCAACTGTGCCGTCATAATGAGGTTATTTAGTTATTCCACTGTAGTAAGACAGAGAAAGCCCAAGTAAATATCACGACAACGTTTTGAGTCGATTCCTACTCAACAGAAAAATGTTGCCTTACAAGGAAAAAATATCTGATTAAAGCAGAGTTGCTGTGATGTGGGAGGAGCTCTGCTATCAGAAACACACACCGAGGAGTCTGAGCTGTGTCTAACCGACCGAACCACAGCACTGGAGTACACATCACACCATGAGATTCAAACGTTTCGGAGCACATGACATGTACCCAACAGCTGTA